CCCATTCCCTTGTGGCCTGCCAGGTTTCTTCTGAAAACTCAGCTGATAACTTTATGAGGATTCACTTGTGTGTTGTTTGTTGCTTTTCCCTTGTTGCTTTTAAATTTTGGGGGGGCTTTAATTTTTGTCAGTTTGATTAATATGTGTCTTAGCATCTTGTATGGGACTCGCTTCACTTCCTGGACTTGAGTGAGTGTTTCCTTTCTCATGTTAGAGTAGTTTTCAGCTATAATGTCTTCAAATATTTTCTCAGGCCCTTTCTCTCTCTCTCTTCTCCTTCTGGGACCCCTATAATGTGAATGTTAGTGCATTTAATGTTGTCCCAGAGGTCTCTTAGACTATCCTCATTTCTTTTCATTATTTTCTTTATTCTGTTCTGTGACAGTGATTTCTACCTTTCTGTCTTCCAGCTCACTTATTCGTTCTTCTGCCTCGATTATTCTGCTATTGATTTCTTCCAGTGTATTTTTCATTCAAGCTATTGTATTGTTCATCTCTGTTTCTTTGTTCTTTAAACCTTCTAACTCTTTGTTAAACATCTCTTGTATCTTCTCGATCTGTGCCTCCATTATTTTTCTGAGATCTTGGAACATCTTTACTATCATTACTCTAAATTATTTTTCGGGTAGGTTGCCTATTTCCATTTCATTTAGTTTTTCTTGTGGGTTATCTTGTTCCTTTGTCTGGAACATTTTTCTCTGCTGTCTCATTTTGTCTCACTTTGTGTGATTGTGGTTTCCATTCCACAGGCTGCAGGATTGTAGCTCCTCTTGCTTCTGCTGTCTGTCCCCTGGTGGATGAGGTTGGTCCTTGGGCTTATGCAGGCTTCTTCGTGGGAGGGACTGGTTCCTGCCCACTGGTGGGTGGATCTAGGTCTTGTCCCTCTGGTGGGTAGGGCCTTGTCAAGGGATGTGTTTAGAGGTGGCTGTGAGCTCAGTATGGTGTTAGCAGCCTGTCTGCTGATGGGTGGGGCTGTGTTCCTATCCCGCTCGTTATTTGGCCTGAGGCATTCTAGCAGTGAAGCCTGTAGGCTCTTGGGTAGGACCAGGTCTTGATACCAAAATGGCGACCTCTGGGAGAACTCACACTGATCAATATTTTCTGGGGCCCATGCCACCAATGTCCTTGCCTCCACAGTGAACCACAGCCAACCCCTGACTCCCCAGGAGACCCTCCAAGACCTGTAGGTAGGTCCAGCCCTGATTCCTATTGAGTTACTGCTTTCTGCTGGGTCCCTGTGTATGTGAAACCTGTGTGAGCCCTCCAGGAGTGGAGTCTATGTTTCCCACAGTCCTGTGGAGCTCCTGCACTCAAGCCCCACTGGCCTTCGAAACCAGATGGTCTGGGAGTTCCTCCTTCTGATGCCAGACCCTCAGGCTGGGGAGCCTGACAGGGGCTCAAGATTTTCACTCTTGTGGGAGAACCTCTTCAATACAGGTATTTTCTAGTGTGTGGGTCATCTACAAAGGGGTATGGGGTTTGATTATGTCATGAAAGCACCCCTCCTACAGTTTTGTTGTGGCTCTTTCTTTGTCTTTGAATGTAAAATATCTTCTCTGGTAGGTTCTGGTCTTTTGTCAGTGGTTATTCAGCAGTAAGTTGCGATTTTGGTGTTTTCATGAGAGGAAGTGAGCTCAAGTTCTTCTCCTCCACCATCTTTTCCGGGATTGAGGGGCTGCTCTTAGTCTGGATTGTGGCTGTCTCTTTCCTCAGTGTGTGTTGGCTATTATCCCCTTGATACAGCGTATGCAGGTGCAGTGGCCCTTGTGCACTCTGGGGAGAGCGGTGGCAGGGCTCGTTGCTTGCTTGCAGGTCTGCTAGGGGCAGCTGCCATTCCCACACTCCCGGGACAGAGCTTGGCACCTGCTCACCAGTCTCCTAAGGGTGGCTACTACCCATGCACTCCTGGGACAGCACTCCTCTGGAGCCCAGGATGGTGGTGACAACTTGTGCCCACCCCCAGAGTTCCTGTAGGTGGTGTCCTCTTGCCTGGGAGAGCCCACAGGGAAGGAAGCTCTTATGGTGTTCCTGCCTCTCTCCTCGTGAACCCCCAAATAATGGCACCTTGCCTCTCCAGTGAGCTCTGGTTTCTTCTGAGTACCCCCTCAGTTGCCACAGTCCAGCCTCTTCAGGCTGTCTCTGCACATCCAACCCCGGTCCTCTTCCTGGGTCTGACCTCTGAAGGCTGAGCTTCAGCACCCAGCCCCCACCCACACTGACAGGCAAGTGTCTAAGGCTGGGGAGCACAGGGTGGCAGTGACAACCTTCTGTGTTCGTTACTCTCCATTTTGCCTTCCACAAACCGGTTGTTGCACTCTCCTGCTAGGCTCCAAAGCTCCCCCTCCATGCAGGCTGATCTCCACACTGGTGAGGGTACTCCCCAAGGGGCATAAACCTTTCTTCCTTCACAGCTCCCTTCCTGGGGTTCAGGACCTGTCCCAGTTCCTTTCTTTGTCTTTTTCCTTTGTCCTATATGGTTACATGGAGGTTTTCTTGCCCTTGCGGAAGTCTGAGGTCTTCTGCCAGTGTTCAGTAGATTTTCTGTATGAATCATTCCACTTGTAGATGTGCTTTTAATGTTTCTGTGGGAGAAGGTGAGCTCCCTGTCCTACTCCTTTGCCATCTTGATCCTCCCCCAACTCCATCGATGCCATTTCTTTGCTGTTGCTTTGCGAGGAAAAATCTCTTCAGGTATGAAGATAAATGAGTGTGTTATTTCTTCAGATATCATAGACAAAGCAATGATTTGAAAAAACTTTAATTAAAGATTCAGCTTTATTGGGATATAATTGACAAAATTATAAAATAATTTTCATCATGGTGATGTTTTACATTAGATCCTCATATCTTATTCATCTTAGTGCAGAAAGTTTGTGCCCTTTTACCCACTTCTTATTTCCCTCATCCCCCAGCTCCTAGCAACCACTCTTCTACTCTCTGTTTCTATGAGTTTGACATTTTTTCTTTGATATCCCACATATAACAGGATCTCATGTAGTATTTCTTTATCTGGCTCATTTCACTTAGCATAATACCCTCAAGGTCCATCCATGTTGAAAATAGGATTTCTTTCTTTCTCATGACCTAATAATATATTGCACTGTGTGTATGTGTGTGTCTCTGTGTGTGTGTGTGTACATGAGAGAGAGAGAGAGAGAGAGAGAGAGAAAGAGGGAATATGCACACCACATCTTCTTTATTCATTCATTCATATGTTCATGGACACTGAGGTAGTTTCCATATCTTTGCTTTTGTGAATAATGCTGCGATGAACATGTGAGTGTAGATATTTCTTTGATATCCTGTTTTTATTTCAAGTATCCAGAAGTGGGATTGCTGGATCATATGGTAGTTCTATTTTTTATTTTTTGAGGAACCTCCACACTGTTTTACATAGTGGTTACATCAATGTACATTCCCATCAACAGTGCACAAGGGTTCCCCTTTCTCCACATCTTCACCAACACTTGTTATCTTTTCAGTTTTAATGACAGCCATTCTGACAGGTGTGAGGTGATAGCTCATTGTGGTGGTGGGTTTGATTTGCATCTACCTGATGGTTAGTGATGATTACCTGATGATTTTGTGTACGTGGCCATTTGTATACTTTCTTTGGCAAGAGGTTTATTCAGTTTTTCTGTCCATTTTTAAAAATCAGATTGTTCGGTTTTTTGCTATTAAGTTGTTAAGTAATTTATATATTTTGGGTATTAAAACCCCTTATCAGGTATATAATTTGCAAATTTTTTCTTCCATTCAGTAGGTTGCCTTTTCATTTTGTTGATGTTTTCTTTTGCTATGCAGAAGCTTTTTAGTTTGATTTAGTCCCACTTGTTTATATTTGCTTTTGTTGCCTTTGCTTTTGTTGTCAAGTCCCAAAAAATCATTGCTAAGACTAATATCAAGGAGCTTACCCCCTTCTAGAAGTTTTATGGTTTCTGGTTTTAAATTTAAGTCTTTAATCCATTTTGAGTTGATTTTTATGTACTGTGTGAGATAGGGGTCTATTTTCATTCTTTTGTATGTGGCTATCCAATTTTCCCAACACCAATTATTGGAGAGAGTATCTTTTCCCCATTGTATATTCTTGATTCTTTTGTCATAAATTAATTGACCTTATATGCATGAGTTTATTTATGGGCTCTTTATTCCATTAATCTCTGTGTCTGGTTTTATGCCAGTACTGTGCTGTTTTGATTACTATAACTTTGTAATGTAGTTTGAAATCAGGAAGTATGATGCATCCAGTATGTACAAAATACTGTGCTTATATACTTCCTAGGAGATTCAGATGAATACTGACTGTCTTATTCAAGGAGGATAAGAGCTAATAGCTCATATCATGTGATTTTTCAAAAATACAAATATATAAAATAGCCTCAAAATGATGAATGACACATGAGCTTTATAAATATACTGTGAGGGTTTGAAAGAAGTTCAAACCCTCAGTATTACATCATTTGAGATTCCATCAAATAGGGAGAAAATGGGAAAGCTTTATAGAAAAGGCAAAAAAAAAAAAGGGTTACTTGTGGATTTTCTGATGAAATAGTTTTGAAACTAGTTATGAGTTTTAGTTTATTATAGCAATTATTTATTCTTCAATAATACAATGACTGGATTAACCAGAAGAGGAGAAAGAAAGAGATTAACAAAACATAGTAAATTCTATTCTATTCTATACAAAAGATGTTTCAAATTTGATTATACTTTTAGGTAAGAATTTGGACTTCAGTCATCCTTTCCACAAAGATTTAATTAACATCTCTGTACTAGGTGTTGAGGATACAGAGGAGACTAAGATATAGTTTCTGTCCTCAAGGAGTGCATACTCCAATAGAAGAGACAGACATGAAAAGAGATATCTTCTGTTCTATGCAATAAATGGTATCAAAGAGGCATATATGAGTAAAGAAGTTTGGAGTTACAGTGGAAGGAAGCATGAATAAATAATTATGTTGCTATGACAGCAAGGTTATTTTCCTTTTTCTTTTCTCTAGTTGGAGAACATCAATTAACAGGCCATAAGGTGGCAGTTAAAATTTTAAATAGACAGAAGATTCGCAGTTTAGATGTTGTTGGAAAAATAAAACGAGAAATTCAAAATCTAAAACTCTTTCGTCATCCTCATATTATCAAACTGTAAGTATTTTTGCACTTGATAATATAAAAGAGAAACTGTCTTGAAATATTATATTTAATAATTATTTATTTTTAGTTAAACTTTTATAAATATACAATTTTTTCATATTTATATTTAGCAAGTGTTAATTCATTTAACCATATCAATCCTTTTTTGCATACTTCTGGTTTAGAATTAAAAGTCTAATTGTAAATTGGCTCATCGCTAATATTCGTGTTGAAGGTCATTTAGTACTTTGCTATTTCTAGATTTCTTTTATAATTATTTTCTAGTCACTTTTAATTAACATACCAAGATATTTTCTTTATGGAAAAGGTAGAAAGTTACTATTAAAGATTATCTGCCATAGTATTGAATATTATTTGCCAAACTGCAATCATTACTTTAATTACTGATCGTAAAGCCCTTAGGAAGTCAAATGAATTTTTTTCTTTTTGGATAAGACAAGTTACAAACTTAGAAGATAAGTAAATTAAGAGTTTAATAAATACACTAAGTAATTAAATTGAAAGGTAAATAATAATTTAAAATCAGCTAGACCCATAGAAAATTTAGACATTAAGTATGCAGCAGTGTTCCTTTACATCATTTGAAGTTATGTTTAATATTTATTGTGAAAATGTAATATGCTAAACACTGAAAACTGTCTTTACTTTTATCTTAAAGCTTGGATAGAGTTTAATAAAATAAATATTAATTTTATTGACTACCTGATAATGGCTAGAAACTGTACTGAGCATTCTACATACATAATTTCACTTCATTCTCACAATAAGCATATAAGGAGTATTATTATCCTCATTTTATGGATAAGAAAATTGCATGTCTAAAGAGGACCAGCAGCTTGTCCAAGGTTGAATAGCTAGTAAGTTGCAGAGCTAGTAGTTGTGTTCATATCTGATTTCAAATGCCATGCTGTTAATTTCTACTCCAGTACTGAGAAAACTGAGATGACAAGCAGTAGTATTAATATCTTTGAGGCTTTGTTTGCTAGGTCATTATAGTCAGAGGTTGTATTTAGCCTAAACTTTGTTAGTGAGTAATCTTTAGATGTCAGCATTGATGGGGAACTACTTGATAACCCTCTAGAGGTATGTTGTTTACCTAATAACAAGGCTGCGTAGTAGCTGTGGTAGGGAATAGTGTCCCTCAGTCCCAAGATGTTCTAATCCCCAGTGAGTATGTTATATTACATGGCAAAGGAGAAGTCCAAGGTTATGGATGGATTTAAGGTTGCTAGTCAGCTGACAAAAATAGGGGGATTTTCCTGGGTTATCTGGGTGGTCTGAGTGTAATACAATGGTCCATAGAAGTGGAAGAGGGAATCATAAGCCAGAGGAAGAGATTTGAGGATGGAAGCAAGGTCAGAGTTATGGGATATGAGAAGGACTGAACTGGCTGTGGCTGGCTTTGAAGATGGAGGAAGGGGGCCATGAGCCAAGGATTGCAGATGGTCTCTAAAAGTTGGAAAATACAAGGAAATGGATTTCTTTTAGAGCCTCCAGAAGGCAATGCAGCCCTGCTATGTCTTGATTTTTTAGCCCAGTGAGGCATGTGTCAGACTTCTACCCTATCAGACTTCTTACCCCTATGTAAGATAATACAGAATACATTTGTGGTGTTTTAAGCACTAAGTATGGCAACAATAGGAAACCAATACAGTAGCATTCTTGAAATCCTTAAATGAATGGCTGATCCAGTTATTGCTGGGATTTGGAACATGCATTTATATATTTCTAGTATTTATAGTATTTCTATAACTAGATACATTTATTGCTAGAGAACCATTGCAAATTGATATGTTAAATGAGGGTCCCACTCAGTGTATCTTACCAACAGCATGAATATGTCACTGACTGTTCAAAGAAGGCTTTTTTTGGGTTTGGTGTGCCATTGGGTGACCTGTGATGACTCTTTTCTCACATCACTATGATGAAAACTTCATTCTAACAGTAAGCTTCAGTGTCATTTGATCTTCATTTGAAGTTCACTTGATCATAAACGTAAACAGGAAATGAGGCCCCTGAAATTGTATGGCAGTACTTGATTATGAGGTTGTCGTCTAGGACCTGTATTCTAGATAATCCAGAATATGTATATACAGGCTTTTAAAGATGATCATAGGAATTAAAATATCACCTATGAGTTCAGTGACTCACTCTTGTATTCTTTGTTTCCTTAACTTTAAAATGGGGATACCCCATGGTGCTCTTTGAGGATTAAATGTGTTCTTACTGTTACAATGCCTGCTATTAGATGTGCATTGGCCCAGAAGCAGGAATTGGCAGGCTGCAAGCTGATTCCTGTCCTCTCATGATTCCGAATGATTTTCAGTTAATTGAAACAGCTCATGTCTGACTTCAGCTCCATGTTAGTAATGACTTTATTCTAGTTACTGAATGACTTCTAAGCTAAGTCTCTTTGCTCTTCCTTACTGAGTGGTCACTTCCTATAAGAGGAGAAAACTGGGAAACCAGACTAAAAATGTCACGTGCCAAAGTGAGAATGGAGAGGGGAGAGATCTCTGTATTTTCCTTGTTTCCTGACTTCACCACTTTTAGAATGCCAACCCTGAAAGATCCCAGGGAACCTTTGTCCATTTAGGGTATGAGTTCTAGTTCCTGTTCTGTTCCTATAAACACAAATCAGATTTTGTCAGTAAGCAGTTGCAGTTGTCGTGAGGATTTAGAAGCTGATTTTTGACGTTATAACTACTAGTGTTTTCTTCCTTCCATTTCTGTAATTACTTACAATTGTTTGATTTTGGTTTGATTACTTATATCATTCTGTTTTAGAATTATTTAATTATTTGCTGTTTTGTAAAGGAGTTATAGAATGTTCTCAATATTACTCAAAGGTAATTGGCAGAGGTGAATTTAATGTTTAAAGCTTCTGGCTTCCAGCCTTGAGCTTATCCATTCTGCCACATTTCCTCTTTAATTGTGGATCTGAATTTTTTTAAAAAAGGCACTCATGTATTCTTGCTACACAACAAGCTTACTGACATAGCCTTTAACAGCGTCAGTGATTTAAACAGGGAGAGAGACCTGATCCTTTTAGTCGTTTTGTTTGTTCTCTGCAGTCTTGGACTAACTGCCAAGAATAGTTTCCTTGCTACAGAATGGGCTTCTAGAGTAAGCAAGAAAGTTTGAAAAGTAAATACTAAGAATGAAGGTTATATATTGCACAATTTCTCTATTAATTCCAATTGAAAAAACCCCACTGGGAGAAAATTAAAAGGAATAAACAGGATTGAAAGGAAACTCCAAACTTTCCCATGAACTAGAATTTGTTGAAATGACTTTTGTCCTTGTTTTTCATTCCCCCCATGGTTCTTAGGGAAACTTCATTTTAACTGGTCAAAGGATCAATACTTTCTAATTTGGTAGAGATGGTTTTGCCTGCCAACTCTTAAAAATGTTTATCTTATCCGACCTACGGACAGCTTTTAACATTATTCACCACTACCACCTTGAAATGTTGTAGTCTCTAGGTCTCCGTGGGACCACAGTCTTCTGATTTTCTTTTTACATTCTTGCCTCTTCTTGAGACTTTCTATTCTGGGTCCCTTGTTACCTGCCTGGCCATTAGCTATTGATGTATTTCAGCATTCTGAGCTAGAGTAATCTTAGTGAACCCTTTTTGGGTGTCATTTGTCATCTCTATCTTAAAAATTTACAAATCTATATTGCTCCTGAATTCTGGACACATTTATCGAACTATTTATTGGGTGTTTCCATTCTGGAGTCACAGAGTCATCTGAAACTAAGTTGAACCTTTTATCCCATATATACATATTTTTTGTGCGTGAATGAAAATACCATTCACACAGCTTCCTAAGCCTATAACTTGGGCATCATATTTGACTCCTCTTCCCTCGCCCCTTACATATAATTGATCATTAAGTTCTGCCACTCTTAATCTTGAGTGTCCCCTAAATGTGTTCATTTCTCTCTGCTCTTATTGTCAGGTCACCACCTTCTCTTGCTTGCTATATTTCAACTGTTGCTTCTGCTTGGAAAACTTTACCTATATCTCCCTTCCTCTAGGCCTCCAATTCCAACGTCCTTTAAATATCAGCTTTTAAATGCAACTACCTCTAGAAAAACTGCTTTGCCCTAGTCCTAACACTGGGTTAGGTTTCATCCTCTCGGTCCTGGAGCACCCAGAATTTCAGCTTTTCCAGAGTCCTGGGCATTATATTGTAATTGATCATTTTCTTATTAGTATCGCCACGAGACTGAATTCTTTAGGAGCAGAAGCTATGTTTGTTTTTTCTTTTATTCAGCAAATTTTTATTGGGCACCTAGTATCTGATAGGTAAGGCATTGGGGGTACAGTGGTAGAAGACAGCGTCTCTGCCCTTGTGGAGTTTGTGTTCTAGGGGTATCTAGCAGTTCTCGATAGTAAGTAAACAAATTAACCAGACTGTTTTAGGCACTGATAAGTGCTATGAGGAGAGTGAAACAGGGTGCGGTCCTAGGGTGTGCCGAGGAAGGAGGAGGTGCTAATTTAGATTGGGTTGTTAAGAAAGCTTCACTGAGAGGTAAGGTTTGAGCTAAGACCTAAAGGATGATAAAGATCTAGCCATTTGAAAATCAGGGGACAGAGTGTTTTAAAGCAAGGGGACCAGCAACCTCAGAGTTGCTGAGGTTGAAACAAAGTTCGAGTATTATAGGAAAAAGAAGATTGCTATAATGTCTGGAGTGGAGTGAATGATGGAAAGAGAGGTAGTTCATGAGGTCAGAGAGTAGACATGGACTACATATCATAGAATCTTGAAGACCTTGCTGATTTTGGATTCTGTTCAAAATGGGAAGCTTTCAGAGAGCTGGGGGAGTGACATGATATGACCATAGTGTGGAATGGGTACAGAGGCAGAAGTGGAAGCAGAGAGACCAGTTAGGAAGCTGTTGCTATGGTCCAGCTGACAGATTAATGGTGGCTTTAGCCAAGTGGTGGTATAGATTTGTGCCGTCCAATACAGTAGCCACTAGCCATATGTGACATAAATTTAAATTAAATGAATTAAAAATTTTGGTTCTCTGGTCACACTATTCACATTTCAAGCGCTTAATAGCCACATGTGGCTAGTGGCTATTGTATTGGACAGAGAAGATATAAAATATTTCCATCATTGCAGAAAGTTGTATCTGACAACACTGGTCTAGCTGGAGGTAAATCTGTCAATTCAATATATATTTTGGAGGTAAAACTAATAAATTACTGAGGAAAAGAAAGGGAGTGAGGACCCTCCCCCCACTTTTTTTTTTGCCTGAGCAACTGGGATTTTGGGTTTTGGCTTGAAAAACTAGGTGTTGATAATGATACCATTTTCTGAGATACGAAGAATGGAGGAGAACCATGTTGGGATACAGGTGAACATTAATGGTCTGCTTTGGCTGTGTTAAGTTGAGAATCCCATAAGATATCCAAGTGGAGATGTCCAATACCATCTTTATCTCTCCAACACCTAGTATAATACTAGGTGTTCAGTGATTACTTACTGCATATATAAGGAAGTAACATGTGAACAAGGTCCTGATGATTCTAGGAGGACAGCAAAGCAAAAGAATGAAAGTGTAAAGAACATGGTGTGGTGGGAACAAACAGTCTGGTTTGTCTCATGTACAGAGTATGTATAGGGAGATGGAGGAAAATGAGGCCAGAGTGTTAGCTTGTTGATCCATTCATTCAACAAATGGTACCATTTAGGTACTGGGGATACACCAGCAAACAAAAAGAGACAACAACAAAATTTCTGCTATTATGAAGCTCATATTTCTGTGTGTGTGTATTTTTTGTGTGTGTGTGTAGTGGGTGGCGTTGAAGAGATAGACAATAAATGCTATGTCAGTAAAATATGTTATATGTTAGACAGTGAAGAGGAGAGGGAATATGCCTGCAGATATCTGGAGGGGGGAAATAACAGACGGTGAGAACAGCACATACAAAGGTTCTGAGGTGGAAATTGCTACAGGCAGTAGTAGGTAGATCATAGTAGCAGAGTGATCTAGGGGGAATTGGAGTAAGAGATGTGGTCAGAGACATAAAGGGGAGCCAGATTGTGTAGGATATACTAGACCACTGTAAGAGCTTTGGCTTTTAACTCTGAGTAAAAGAGAAGCCATTGGCAAGTTTTGACCACAGGTGTCATGTGACCCGACTTACATTGAAGCAGGGAAATCAGTTAGGGGTCAATTGCAGTATTCTGAGCAAAAGAGATGGTGGCTTGGAATAGAGCATAGTGTGGAGGGTGTTGAGAAGTAAGCATATTTTGTATATATTTTCAAGATAGAGAACAGCGTTTGCTGACAGATTAGATGTAGGCTGTGGAAGGAGAGAAGTCAAGGATGACTCCAAGGTTAGCTGGCGTGGGCAAATAAAAAAATGGAGTTGCCGTTAATTGAAATGGAAAAGATTGTAGGAGGAACAAGTTTGAAGTGGGATGTTAGGTATTAAGAATTCGATTTTGGTTTTTTGAAGTTGAAATGTTTATTAGGCATCCAAGTAGAGATGCAAGTAGGTTATTTGATATGTGAGTCTGAAGTTAAGGGGAGAGGTATAAACCAGAGATAAATTTGGAAGTCATCAGCGTATAGATGGTATTTAAGATATTTAAGGCCCAAAGACTAGATGATGTCACCAAGGATGTGCATATAAATAAATAAGAATTCTAGGGAGTGATCTCTATGGCAGTATGATGTTAAGATGTCTGGGAGACGAGGAGGAACCAGCAAAGGAGAATGAAAGTGAACAGTTAAAATGATTGGAGGAAAACCAAGAGAATTTGGCGTCTTGAAGCCAAGGGGAAAATGTGTTTGAAGAAAGAGAGATTATTAACTGTTGCTATACTGCTGAATATTGAGTAAAATGAGGCTGAGAAGGAAGAGCTAATTGTAGAAGCCAAGTCCTTTAGTAGATGGGGCAAAGGAATCCAGTGCATAATTGGAGGAGTTAGTCTTAGACAGTATATAACCATGGAATGAGTCATTGTGTGTGGTAGAGGGAAAGAGAGTTAGAACTGAGGAGTGAAGGAAATTAGAGGGCATGTATTGGACAGATCATCTAGATGGATATTTTGTTCACCCAGAATGATGACAGCATTAGCAGTGGGGAAAGAGACATTAAGTCAAAATGGGAGGGAGTTGACAATGAGGTTGGTTGATGACTATAACAAGAAAAGGTATTGGGTAGTGTGATCTGGTGGCCTGCACTTCAGAGACAGTGGGTTTTTGAGGGAATATTTCCTTTAGACCGTAGTTCATTACTAGACTATGGAAATTGGCCAGCATTTAAATTTTCATTGTGAGTTAATAAAATCTAGGCTGTGATCAGTAATGACTGCTGATATCTCAAAAAAGAGGCAGATATCCTACACCTGTGGCTGGAAGCACATACCACCATCTAGTCTTTAAGAAGAAAATTAAAATCAAACTGAAATCTGGTCAGGCCTCTGGATCCAACAGTATTTACTGAAGACTCCAATGTACTCGGAGGAATCAGCAACTACATTTATTAGAATTGTATCACTTTTCTCTTTTACCCCAAAGATGTACAGAGCAGAAAAGTGACTGAAAATTGTTACTAAATCAGATCAGCCTACAGTGAAGTGACACAGCGGGTGGTCCGGCCCCTCAGTATTCATTTTATTCAATTAGAGTTTGCTGGGCTTCCCTGGTGGCGCAGTGGTTGGGAGTCCACCTGCCGATGCGGGGGGGCGCGGGTTCGTGCCCCAGTCCGGGATGATCCCACGTGCCGCGGAGCGGCTGGGCCCGTGAGCCATGGCCGCTGAGCCTGCGCGTCCGGAGCCTGTGCTCCGCGGCGGGAGAGGCCATAGCGGTGAGGGGCCCACGTACCGCAAAAAAAAAAAAAAAAAAAAAAAAAGAGTTTGCTGCCTGTTAGTGCTGCTCTTACAGAACCGTCTTTTTTCTCTAGTTCTCAGGGAAGATTCCCCTTTCATAGTTCATTTGAAGTAGACTCAGCCTTATTTGCCAGTTATATTAGTTTATTCTGTGTGAAGTGGGGTACCTTGTCATTTTTCATCCCCAGGACTGACGATGGCTATTATAAATATTTCTTCTGAAAGTCTGTAATCATTTTCAATACTACAGCTTTAATTTTTACTTTTTTCTATTGTTTTAATTGAAGCATAGTTTATTTACAATGTTGTGTTAATATTTTACTTTTTGCAAGTGTTTAATTTATACATGATGTGTCCTCTTTTAAAATATATAGTATATAGTTATATCACCAACTTCCTAGTCATTTTTTCCCTCCTCTTTAATGAAGACTAGTAACCAGAACCGCCATTTCGAACATACTCTCTTTTTTTGCACATTAATAATAAAAGTTGCCTCATCTGGGTGGACTAATTACCAAAACGTTCCCCTGCTTCTGGCACATCCTGTGTCAAGGTATACGGCCTACAGGGGGGCATCTGAGCCACTTCTCAGCCCCTGCTTGTGCCTTCCACTGGGTGCCTTTAAGGCATGCAGAACTGCCAGCTACACTTAGTGGCTTTAAATAGCAACTCAGTGTAAATTAGATACTGCTCATGATTAACCAGATTATAAGTAATTCTTTATAAATAAAGCAGAGTAGAACAATTTTTCTTTTATATGTGTTAAATGCAACCTTCATTTAAAACATTAATGTTATATTTAACTTGTATTTAAAGTTTTCAAAACTCTGGTACAATTGTGTGTGTATGTGGAAGTTGTAGTTTTTTAGGAAAAATTTTATTTTGTCAAATAGAGCTAAGGTTCTATATTGTTTTACGTGCTCAGCTTTGAGTGCCTAGAAAACGTACATATACATTTTCACACACATAAACACATACACATAACATAAATACATACATCTATTTAATTTTTTATTATGGATATTTCATAATGAATACAACAGTAAAGTGATGAAGCCTCATTTATCTGTCATTCAGCTTCAGCAGTTATTAGTGTATTGTTTTATCTGCTTCCTCCTACTTCTCCCACCCCAAATTATTTTGAAGCAAATCCCAAATAGTATGTTTTTAGTCTGTAAATTCTTCAGCATCTACTGTGGAATTTAAAGGCTCTATTTTAATAAAACAAGCACAGTTCAGTATCACGCCTAAACAGTTAGAATATTATGAACTCTCCAGTCAGTATTCAGATTTTCTTGATTGTTTCATAAATGGTTTTTAAAGTTGGTTTGTTTGAACTGGAATGAAAACAAGTCTAATCTATACCTTCCCCTCCCTTTTTTTGCATTTCATTTTTTTGAGGAAAGGATCATTTGTCTACTTTATAGATTTTGCTGATTTGTATCCCTTTTGGTATCATTTTACCTTTCCAAGAATATTTTTCACTTATGTTTAAATATAAGCTACCTCATCTCTATAGACTACAAACAAATTTTTGTTTAAATGGAAAAATTGATGCTTAATTTAGTTGTTGAGGAATGAAGGATTTCCTAAATTTTATAAACATGAAAGGGGGGATCTGGAGGGAAGTCTGTAAGCCCTGGGAAGTAATTGAGTTTTGTGAAGCTCCGTGTTTACAGCTCTGTGATTATTTTGATAACATTATATAATTTGTTGCCATCTTAAAATATTGTAGAATACTGGAATATCAATTTATAGCAAGAATGGATGTACTAGGTTGATTCTGGTTAAAGTAACATTTTTTATTAAATTTTTTCATTTACAAAAAAGATACCAGGTGATCAGCACTCCAACAGATTTTTTTATGGTAATGGAATATGTGTCTGGTGGTGAATTATTTGACTACATCTGTAAACATGGACGGGTGAGTAACATGCTGTTTAGTACAATAAGCCCTTAAGCTAAAAAAGAAGGAAGTAGTGAGAAATAGCAAACCACAAATGTATCTTCAGAGTCGGGGTTGCTTCTGTAATAATGTCTAACTAAACATACAGGGTATTAGATATATTTTTCCTTAAAAAGTACACCTTATGAAATACTGATTTTAGGAAATATATTCCACTTAACTGCCAACGTGAAAAGCCTGTGCTTTTCAAAATGAAAAATCTGTTCCATAACATCGTATCGACGCTTCACTTATTTCCTTTTCTTAGCAATTTCACGTAAGTTCTGTTTTAGATTATGTTATACTTGTTGATTCCCTGAAACACTGTGCACACTTAGTAATATTAATTGAAAATGAACTGCCTAGCAGCAAAGAAAAACCTGTTGATTGACATGTTGAGCTTGAATGCAAGTTTTTGGCTTGTTTGTCTCATTTGTTGAGAATTCTGGCACAGTTCTAATTAGTGTACTCAGTTATATTTAGGCTGATTATGAAACTAAAACTTTTGCTATGTAGATGTCCCCAGTGTTCTTAGTGCAGTTTCTTTTATACCTGATAGGTTGAAGAGATGGAAGCCAGGCGCCTCTTTCAGCAGATTCTGTCTGCCGTGGATTACTGTCACAGGCATATGGTCGTTCATCGAGACCTGAAACCAGAGAACGTGCTATTGGATGCACACATGAATGCCAAGATAGCTGATTTTGGTATGCAGCTCCAGGGTTGTTTAGAAGTGTGCTAGCTGCCTTTGCAGGTGTGTCAGTACCAACTCTTAATGAACTAAGAACTTTCAACTTCATTGATGTAAATCCTATACCATGAAAAGAGATTAGCTGGACAGGCTGCACACTAGCTTGCTCTATTCATTTAAACCACTTTTTAAAAATGCAAGTATTTCTAGAGACATTCAGAGGGCTTGCGTCAAGGTAAATCCACTCAATCTGCGTTGCTTCCTCAGGAAATGAGACTTAACTGTTTTTTTGTGAGGGCCACAAACTCCTTTGAAAATCTAATGAAAGTATGGGCACTTTCCCTGATAAATGCACTTAAATGGAGGTACATGAAAATTTGCACGCAGTTTTGGAGCGTTGCAGTCCTTCTGAATTGATCGAGGAGGAATGTCAGTGGACTACGGGTAACAGGTAACAACTTGGTAGAAGAATAGGAGTTTTTGTTGGTGGTAAAATAAGAGGGTAAAATGTAATTTTTATGCCCCAAACACTTTCTGGGATAAACATACCTGGACAGGGTGCCATAGTAGAGGAGAGGATCAGAAAGTGAGAGATTATAGAAAGAGATGAAAAGGTATCAGAGTTCAGCATTACTTATTTAAAATTTTTGTCTGTACCTTGTCTTTAATCTAAAAGCCAGGGAAGTCATTTTCCTATTTCTCTTCCTTCTCTAAATCACAAAGCTCATTTACTGCTGTAGTGCAACTAGATTTCTGGTTCAATGGAATGTTTTTCTATGTTGAATTAAAGCTCTGCAAATTAAAAACTTTTGGAACGTAATATTTATAAATTGGAGCCTATCTGATTTCTACTTAGAGATATTTAAAAATGCCTTTGAAAGCAGAGTATAAAAAAGTAATCGTAGTCTCTATTTTCTTTCATTTGCAGGCGTGGGTAAATAATATTTTGGTGCTTTTATGTTTGGAAAAGTGCATATAATTTAGAATAACCTCATATTTGTGAAGTGAATCAACATTCTTATTTAGAAAAGGAGTTTAATTTCAATCTTAGGCATGGTGTGCTTTGGCTTTTTTGTCATGTATGAGCACTCTGAAATGGAGTCTTTCTAGTCCAACAAATGCTTTCTACTGCTTTTAAAAATAAACATTATGATATGTGAGGCATTACAGACTTGACGTTTTTCCTTATGCATTTATCTGTATTTAGTTTTAAACATATGTAGCACCAGGTAAACATATTACTCTTATTTTTAGGATTATCTAATATGATGTCAGATGGTGAATTTCTGCGAACTAGTTGTGGCTCCCCAAATTATGCAGCACCTGAAGTCATCTCAGGCAGGTAATAATATATCAGTGAAGAGTAAGCTTTTTGTAATGCTTTGTTCATTCTGATAACATTTAACTGTAATACATTCTCTTTGGAAGATAAGATTTTTAACATAATAGAAACATATTGTCCCTTTAGTTTTTCTATTGTTGAAGAGAGATTACTTATATTAAACAATTTTTTAAAACATTTGATTTAGATTTTGTTATGAATGTATTTAAGGAGTTTTTCCACTAAAAACTGAAACAAAACTTGATTTATTTTTTTCATTTTAGAAAATTGCAGCTAGGAGAGCAAGCATTTGCTGCATTTAAGCTAGTGTCATTATTTACTTCTCAGACATAGTCCTTTAATAATTCTGTATATACTCTTATAAAGCATACAGAGTATTATTTTTATGTTTTGTCTTTAGAAGAATGAGGTTTTCTGGGGGAACAGTATTGTCATTTCATGAAGTTAACTGCACAAGAGAAGACCGTGTAATTTATTCATGTAACTTACTCATTGGTACATTTTTAAAATGTTTATACAGAGTGCAGTGATAAATTCAAGTCTTCTATGGTGACCAATGTCTGATTTTAAAAGTTTACAGAATTCTATGAGAGAAAATAAAGAAAAGGTATTATTGCAGATATAGCAGTTTGGACTATACAGCAAACAATATAAATAATGGACAGCAATTTTTATTGAAATGGAGTGTATTTTTTTAATTGGAATTGTAGAGATCTACTTTGTTACCTCAGACTTAGGTTTGAGTTTGGTAATGTCCTATCAGTGGAATCTTAGTAATGTAGAAAGGTGAGAGGAAAAAGGAATAACATTCTAGGCATAGGTTTTCTGGATAAAGGTAATCTTAGTCCCAGGGGCTACCAAGTGGTTGGAATGAAAGTAGTAGGTACCCAGGATAATGTGATACGGCATGAATACTGTGAAAGAGATTGCAGTAGGACTAGTTAGGTACTTTACTATTCCAAATATTCTTTAAAATAGGTGTGCCAGGCATAAACATTCTATTATATATGCATTTTCTTTTAATAGCTTTATGGTAAGAAGATTTAGCCTATACACTATATAGTATTGCTTTTCTTCAAATTTATGGTCGTCTACTTCGATGTTTCTATCAAAAATCAACCATAGAAAGTTTTATATTTTTTAATTAGTCAATTAGTAAGCTCAGTTTAGTTTGTGTCAAAAAATGAAAATACTGTTTTCTCTTGGGAAGTTTGAATAGTATTTGGTTAGATCACTTATTCTTTCTGGGGAACAACATTGAGTGTTGTGGAGTGGCCATGGACTTCACTAAAGACCTTGGGAAGCAATACATATACAGTCTGTACTGTGTATATAGGTACATATAGAAACAGGGTACACGTAGATGGGAAGTGACACTTGCATTTCAGGTTTGTGTTGTCATCTTTTCCCCTAGATTGTATGCAGGTCCTGAAGTTGATATCTGGAGCTGCGGTGTTATTTTGTATGCTCTTCTCTGTGGCACCCTCCCATTTGATGATGAGCATGTGCCTACGTTGTTTAAGAAGATCCGAGGGGGTGTTTTTTATATCCCAGAATATCTCAATCGTTCTGTTGCCACTCTCCTGATGCATATGCTACAGGTTGACCCCCTGAAACGAGCAACTATCAAAGATATAAGGTGAATAGTCTTTTTGTTGCTATTAAGTACATATTCTAGTATTAATATTAGTACCACTACCTGAATGGCTGCTTTATGTTAGGCACTGTAACACTTGATTTTATACGAATTTTACTTTCCTTATTACATAAAGCTGATCCTGTCACTCAACTTTTAAATATTTCAGATTGTTTCCCAAACTTTTCAGTTTAGGTAGCAAAGCATACAAGGCCCTTCATAGTTAAGGCTCAACGCCGTACCCCTTATACCAGAGCTTCAGCCACAGTGAACTTTTCCTTGTTCCTCAAACATAATGCATATTTTACGCCTCATGTCTTTGTTTATATTATTCCCTTTGCCTCTGATGCCTTTTCTGCATTTTTGGACCTGAAAGATTTCCATTCATCCTTTAAAATTCTGCTCACTTATCACCTTCCTTGTGAAATCACTTCTGATTCTCCTGAGCAGTTTTAGTTGCTTCCACTTCTGTGATTTCCACATTTTGTTCATGCTTTCATTCTTTCATTCTCATTCTGTATCTAGTTGTTTTCAGTGTATCTTTCTCCTCTCTTGTAACTATAAAAGGGTAGAGAGAGTGTCTTATCATCTTTGTATATACAGTGCTAGAAGGCCTAGAAATATAGTGTACACTCAGAAAGTATTTGAATAAGTTTCAAATGGAAAAACAGGGTGAGAGTTATATATTTTACATACGGTTGATGAAATAAACCATAAAAATTTTTGCTAAGATTTTGAATCCAAAAATAGCCACTAGTGGGTTTGCTGAGAAGGATTTCTTGTTATGTGAGAAACTTTGGAAAGTGCAGTTGCTGGTGTTACTGTGAATATGACCTTTATATAGCACACACAAGTCAGGATGATTCATTGCCTTCTACTTTTTATTTATCAGTCATGTTTCTTAGAGGGTTTTTTGTTCTCACCTAACATTTCATCAGGTATTTATTTGCAAACGCATTCTTTTGACATCTTTCCAGAATACTTTGCCTTGTCTTCATAAGCCAGAATACGACTCTTGGAACATTTCAGTGGTGGCTGAGGTAGTTGTTTTTGTGACTGCTGCTGATCTCTTTGGCACTCCCGTTGCATTCGTGTACTGTTTTCTTCCCCCAACCTCTCTTAGTGTTCCAGGCCTCATACCTAAAAATGTAAAATTGTAAATTAGAACCAGATTTAGTTATGGAAATGGACTTAGCAGGGAAAAACTCTGTTGTGTTCATAGTCCTTTAGAATAAATAGTTCAGGGGCTTCCCTGGTAGCACAATGGTTGAGAGTCCCCCTGCTGATGCGGGGGACACGGGTTCGTGCCCCGGTCCGGGAAGATCCCACATGCCGCGGAGCGGCTGGGCCCGTGAGCCATGGCCGCTGAGCCTGTGCGTCCGGAGCCTGTGCTCCGCAACAGGAGAGGCCACAGCAGTGAGAGGCCCACACACTGCAAAAAAAAAAAATTAAAAAAAATAAATAAATAGTTCACTTAATTGGCTTTTCCTCAGAAAGAAAATTGGCTTTTCCTTAGAAAAGAAAGTTAAGTATGTACTTGCACCTGTTTGTATCAGCACATACGTTGAGAATAGTAAAAGTACTGATTCTGTTATATTAAACAGGTGTCTGTATATTTACACGTTTTAGAAGAAAAATGTAAATAAAAGTCTACTAGGATGAGTTAATTTACACATATGTAGGTGGTATAAAATAGTGGCAGCCATCTCTGTACTTAAAATAATAACTTGAATTTATAGTTTTCATCATTTTTTTATTTATCCATATTCTGTTTATTAACGTTTGGGAATTCTTCATTTGACAAAATATGGTTCAACAGAGTTACTAATTATTAACGATTATTATATAACAGGTATTTTGCTAGGTACTTGACATATTTTATTGCATTCATTCTTAACAGGTAACTATTATTATTCTCATTTTACAAACCGTGAAACTGAAGCTTAGAAAGGTTATGTTTTGATTTATGTATCTGTTTGTCCCTATTAAATTTTAGGGTCCTTTAAATTAGGGACCAAGTATTAATATGTTCTAGGCATTGTGCATTTGATATGAATTAGGTTTTGAGTAAATGTGTATTTGTGAAAATTACCCAGCTAACAAGAGGCAGGCAGAAGTAGGGCTCAGATATTGCCTGATTCAGAACCTGTACTACTTCCACTAATCCAGCTTGGCACACCAGTTCTGTGGCATCCAGCCTTTCTCCAAAATACCATGATATGTTATATTTCTCTCATGTTACCACATTCCGTCTTATAGTTACAGGCACACCTAGTTTTACGGCGCTTCGCTTTACTGTGCTGTGTAGATACTGTGTTTTTTACAAATTGAAGGTTTGTGGGAACCTTGTGTTGTCAGATGATGGTTAGCATTTTTTATCAATAAAGTGTTTTTTAATTAAGGTATACACACTGCTTTTTTAGACATAATGCTGTTGCAAACATAATAGACTACAGTATACTCTAAATGTAATTTTTATATGCACTGGGAAACCAAAATGTTGGTGACTTGCTTTATTGCAATATTCGCTTATTGCAGTGATCTGGAACCACACCAGCAATCTCTCTAAGGTATGCCTGTATTTTTGTACAGATCTTTTTTGTCTTTTAAGATGGTAAGCTATTGGAGGTTAGAAAATATATCTCAGTATTTATTCGTTCATTTAATCATTTTTGCTTTTATTTCTTTAACAATTATTTATTTAACATCTACTCTGTTTAAGGTCCTATGCTAGGTGCTGGGAATGTATTGGTAGGCAAGACAGACATTGTCTTCAGGAAAATCACATCTTTAAGTGCTGTAAGCTTAGTATTACTGTTAATGTTATTGTGGTTAAGAGTGAGTGTCTGAAGTTCAACTGTCTAATTACAAATTCTGATTCTTTGTTTACTAGCTATTGGCATATTCCTTATAACTCTTCGTGCTTTAGCTACATCATATATAGTGGATTTGTTTGGAGGATAGGTTGAACCATATGAATTGACTATTTCTGTAGGTCTAAGCACAGTTGAATATTAGAAACTGCAAACTTTCATCCTAATATAATTAAAGCTTTTAGACTAATGCCCAGCATACAATATTAGCTATTAATATTATTTTAAAGTGAATACATAAGGACCTTTTAGCTGCACTTAAAGAAGTTTGCACACATTGTGAAGTTTCTAAAATTTGATTGGTAGTCATCATAACTCATTTAGTCTTAAGTCATATATCAAAATCAGGTACTAGGCAATAGTGACAGAAAGACATAATTTCTGGTGGCTGTGTAGTAACCCATATGAAATGAATTGATTGTCTCAGGTGAACCTTCATAAACATCCTGGTTACTGCTTACCTTGGTCAAGTTAATTTAGAAATTGACTCCTGAAAATTAAAAGCTGGAAGTATGGCTTTTTTTTTTTTTTTTTTACATGTGGAGGGTTGCTTTATTATTATAATTATTTTTTTAAATTGAAGTATAGTTGATTTACAAGGTCATGTCAGTTTCAGATGTACAGCACAGTGACTGAGTTACACACACACATATATGTATATATATGTATGTATATATTCCTTTTCGGATTCTTTTCTGTTATAGGTTTTTACAAAATACTGAGTATAGTTCCCTGTGCTATAGAGTAGGTTCTTGTTGCTTATCTATTTTATATATAGTAGTGTATATATGTTAATTCCAACCTCCTAATTTATTCCTCCCCCAGCCCCAAAGTATGGCTTTTTAATTGGCACTGTTATTATTATGAAGAACTGTGGTTCTTTTTCTGAATTAATTGGAAATGAAAATTTAGATTACTTCTCTATTTATTTTTTTAAACATTTATTGGTATAATTCACATACCATAAATTTGCTTCTTTAAATTATATGATTCAGTGGTTTTTAGTATGTTCACAAAGTTAAACTGTCATCACCACTGTCTAATTCTAGAACATTTTTCTCATCCCCCAAAGAAACTCTATACCCATTTCCTCCTCCTTGCAGCCCCTGGCAACCACTAATCTACTTTCTGTCTTTGTGGATTTCCCTCTTTTGGACATTTCATATAAATGGAATCATACGGCATGTGGCCTTTTGAGTATGGCTTCTTTCACTTAGCATGATGTTTTCAGTGTTCTTTCATGCTGTAGCATGTATCAGTACATTGTTACTCTTTTGCTTGAAAAATATTCCATTGTTTAGATATACTAAATTTTGTTTATCTATTCATCACTTAATGGATATTTGAGTTGTTTCCACTTTTTGGCTCTTATATAATGTTGCCATGAACATTTATGTATAGGTTTTTAAATGGTCATATGTGTTTATTCCTCTTGCATAGATGCCTAGAATTTGTAATTGTTGTTGTTGCTCTTGTTTGTTAAGTGATTTTATTGAACTAATTCCATAAGTCTATATTCTTTGTCATGGGTGGCCACTGAAGTCTCTGCTTGGTTAGCTTAATGGTCAGCTAATTATTAGACAAAGCTTTCCTTAAAGGCCTTGATCTAATAAGTCTCCCAGCCTTTGCTGAGGGACTTCGTGTGCATGTTGGGGTATGTCTTCAGTGCTTTAATGAAAAGCTCATAACTCTGCATTTGTTTTCACTCCTGCTAGCACAGAGCCTCAAAGTCAACCAGTGATGAGAAATCAGGGCCTTTCTTGGAAATGAACACAGCCCTGCATTTGTGAGTCCCAGGATTATGTAAGAGTATTTCAAGGACCCCTATGGAATTTACTTCCCTAACTTTTCCTTTTTAGTTTTCTGACGAGCTTCTTGTTTGCTCCAACTCTTATTGCTGCTTTTAGCAGCTGGGATGTTAGACAGTTGCCATTGATTGTTTTTGACAAATGTTCTGGGGAGAAGGCTTTGTAGAGGGAGCTCTGAGTCAGGTCAGATGAAGACAGGGCTTGAGTGTAGAGGTTTCCAGAGATCTGCTAGCCATGTCAAATAACGACAGTTCTCTTGGGATAGGACTTTTGGAGAACTCTAAACCTATTCTTCTCCCCATCCCCCCACCAGTGGTTGCTAGATGCTGGTTTTTTGGGCTACAATGATTGTGAGGCTGTTGGTTTTCAAGGCTACCGTAGAAATGGGGAAAGGAGATGGATATGGAGTAACTTAACGCTTTATTGACTGGGGGATTTTTGCAGAAACTAAGACTAACACCTGTGGCTGTAATACGTCTCTGGTCAAAAATGTGTTAAAGTGTCACAGATCTCGCTGTTCTTACTGAGACTCGGCCAATTTTTTAAACAAACACTCCTCAGATTATTACAGGCCTTTGGTTGATTTCCAGAGTTCTGAAAAAGTTGATTTTGACAATTTTCACTAGTAATCTCATTTCTGTTATGGAAGAATGAATTTTTGGAGTTCATTCAAAAGTGTTCATCTTCCCTATTTGATATTGATATTTTAAAAACGTTAGATGTGTAACAATTTATTTTTTTCTATTATTTCTTTTGAAAAAATTAGTATTCACCAGTCATTTTATTACTAAACATTTATTTAAGTGCTTATTATTATCATGATATAGCAATTAAACACATTTATGAATTCATTTTTGACTTCATTGGCTAGTCATCATTTATTCTGCATTTATTGAGCATTTACTCTGTACTGGGTACTGGAATGCAGGTGAATAAGGCATGGTCCCTGTTTCAAGGAGTTCCCAGTTTAGTGGGGAGGATTAAGGAAAAAAACTGTAACAACCATAAGAAAGTATGAGTGTTATAATAGCATCATCTACTAGAAGCTGTGGAAGTTTCATCTCTGTGTGTATACTCAAGGCCTGGCACACCATCATTCCTCACTTGGGCTATTGCCCTAGCATCCTCCTCCTCATCATCATTATTACTCTTATCTTTTCAATTCAATTTCTTTATCACAAGCAGAATGATCTTTACAGAATGCAAATTAGATCATGTCACGCCTGTCTCTTTAAAATCTTTCAGTTATTTTCATCACCCATAGTTTTGTCCAAAAACCTTTTTTATAGCCTACAGCTGTCAGAAATACCTGATATCTTTTGCCACTCCAACCCGTAACTCATTATGATTTCATGAGTGTGGCCTCAGTTCAGTTCCTTGAACATGGCAAAATTTTTTCTTATCTCAGAGTCTTTGCATGTATTGTTTCTTTTGCTGTGAATACCTGTTCCCCAGCTCTGCTTAGTTGACTTCTAGTCATTCTGGTATCTTCTTAAATATTACTGAGAGTGGCTTCCTTAATCACCTACCTCCCATTCTGAATTACATACTCTTATTTTACCCTGTACTTTTCACTCATAATCTTTATCACAGGATTTTTATATTTGTGTATTTGTAACTATATATTCATTTTTGAGAGTGTTTGTTTAATCTGTATTCAGCTAGAATATAATTTCTGTGAGAAGGAGTGTGCCTTTTTACCACGGTATGTCCTTAGTAAATATTCATAAATGAATCAGTCAATAGAAGGCATTCAGGTAAACTATATACCGATGTAAATTTAGCTTAGGGAGACCATGTAGCAATGCTTACACAATCTTGAAGGCGTAGTACATGTTAGTTAAATGAAAAGGGGTGGGATATTCTAGGGTGGCAATAGTAACATCATGTGCAAAGGCCCAGAAGAGTGAGAAAATAAGATCTAGGAGACTGGTTCTCAAGCATTTTGGTTTGAGTACCCCTTTACAGTCTTAAAATTGAGGACTCCAAAGAGTCTTTTTTTAAATATAGGTCGTATTTATCAATATCATATTAGAAACCAAAACTGAGAAATTTTAAAAATATTTAATTCACTTAATAAACCTACTACATGTTATTCTGAATAATATGTCTCTTATGAAAAATAACCTTATTTTCCAAAACAAGAAAATATGGTGACAAGAGTACCTTTATTTTACATTTTTCAAATCCTCTAAATCAGAGACAGCAGCTAGGTTCTCATTATCTGCTTCTTCAGTCATCTGTTGCAATATGCTGTATTAGTTGAAGTCTAGGAAAAATATCAGATCTCAAATAAGTGGTGGGAAAAGGGAGGAACATTTTCATAGCCTTTCAGATAGTTACAGATATCTTTCTTTGATATTAAACCAAAGCTTAACATGTTAATTGCAATATCAAATAAGAAAACATATCAGTGAACTTTTGTACTTTATTACATTAAAATCCACTGGTCTGTTCTGTATTTTGAGTGGATCTTTTGCCCATGTATGATTCTGTAACATCTTGCATTGGTCATATGGAAAATATTGGGTTATTGAGGTAGACTGATGTTCCGAATGGTGACACATTTTATTAGATAATATCAAATTACAGTCATTATCCTCTTCATGATAAACGTAGTAGTCTTTAAGTATTGAGAAGCTGTCAAACTCTTGGAGACAGACACAAATTATACAAAATTCTAACATTTTGCTTGAAAGCTTGAATTTTATGATTGGCAACAGATACTGCCAGTTGTTTCCTTTGACGTGACAGGCTCATTTCATTTATTTTTGAGAAAATGTCAGCCAAATACCCAATAATCTTGAATAATCATAGTTATTCAAGAGCAGGGACGAATCAACTTACCCGGGGTCCAATAGCTAGTAAGTGACTAGAGACCAGGTCTTTCTGATTCTGTTATATTGTATTACCCCATGTCTGAATTGTTCGGGACTTGCCAAAGCATGTTCTTACAATAGTGTATTGTGGTATTTTTCCTAGAGAGCATGAATGGTTTAAACAAGATTTGCCCAGTTACTTATTTCCTGAAGACCCCTCCTATGATGCTAACATCATTGATGATGAGGCTGTGAAAGAAGTGTGTGAAAAATTTGAGTGTACAGAATCAGAAGTAATGAACAGTTTATATAGTGGTGACCCTCAAGACCAGCTTGCAGTGGCTTATCATCTTATCATTGACAATCGGAGAATAATGAACCAAGCCAGTGAGTTCTACCTCGCCTCTAGTCCCCCAACTGGTTCTTTTATGGATGATAGTGCCATGCATATTCCCCCAGGCCTGAAACCTCACCCAGAAAGGATGCCACCTCTTGTAGCAGACAGCCCTAAAGCAAGATGTCCGTTGGACGCACTGAATACAACCAAGCCCAAATCTTTAGCCGTGAAAAAAGCCAAGTGGCATCTTGGAATCCGAAGTCAAAGCAAACCGTATGACATCATGGCTGAAGTTTACCGAGCTATGAAGCAGCTGGATTTTGAATGGAAGGTAGGAAATTGTAGTATATGAAGATCATTTGTAGAAGCCATTTTTTGTGTAGTAAGCTGCTCTGAGCTGCTGAGTTGAGTACTAAGGTCAATAAAAAAAGTTGGTTTTGATTTAGATATGAATTTAGTGGTGTTGATGCTTCTGGCTGATAAATCCCATTCTTTCCAATACGTACCATGTGCATTCAAAACAAAACAAGACAAATCTCTGTAAGGATGAAGAACTGTCAGTGTTGGAGACCTATGTATTTTTTTAATTATAGAATAGCATTCTTGGCTGAGAAACAAAGTTTTAATCAACTTGAAATCTCTTGAGAAATTAATCTCTTGAATTCAAGAGAATTGAATCTCTTGAATCTCTTGAGAAATCTCTTGAAAACCTGTTTTAGCATGCATCGTAACAATAAAACGTCATGTGTCTTCAAAGACACTGTGTTTTTACTTTTCTCTCTCCTTCTTAAGGGAGGGTTTTTTTCTTTCTGCCAGTAGCTGTAACAGCAAGCGGTTGACACAAATTATACCATCAGGACATATTTATTCAGTAAACAAATACGTTTCTGTAAGTTGAGAAAATTCTGTCTTATTTGGCTTGTTCTTTTAGTCCTTAGTTGCAGTTTATTTTTCTTATTCTCAGCCCACATTTTACTTTTTTATTAGTACTCAAATTCATTTCAGTTCTATTTGAGTATATGTGGGGGAAAAATCAGTTTTTTATTTTCAGGCATCTTTTACTCTTGTTCCTTTCTCGAGGACTGTGAATGTACTTTTAACGGAAGAAAAAAATTTTCAAACATATCATGTGAATATTCATTTGACATGTTTTTATTTCATTATTTGTACCTGGAATGAATAAACAAAATAATATTTCCTTAAAACCATTAAAAAAAAACAGATCTCCCTTTTCTGAAGCAGTTTTATTTAGTTTAAAAGGAGATGTTAATGTCTTTAAAATTCTTACTGAGGGGCTTCCCTGGTGGCGCAGTGGTTGAGAGTCCGCCTGCCAATGCAGGGGACACGGGTTCATACCCCGGTCTGGGAAGACCCCACATGCCGCGGAGCGGCTGGACCCGTGAGCCATGGCCGCTGAGCCTGCGCGTCCGGAGCCTGTGCTCCGCAACGGGAGAGGCCACAACAGTGAGAGGCCCGCGTAAAAGAAAACAAAAGCAAAAGCAAAAAATTCTTACTGAGAAATTTTTGGAACTAATTTGATAAGATGTTTTGAAAACCAGAATCTTCTTTATCTGAGTTGCGGTTTTATTATCTTCAAAAGGCAAACAGTATCTTCTTTACGAGATTACTACGATACTTAAATTTCGTGGCAGTACCTGTTAACAGTTCCTGATTCAAACCATTGACATGTTATTTGTCCTTTTTCTGTCTATTCTATACTCATAGGTAAAGGTATCCAAGTTGATACCTTTGGGCAACCAAAATATTACTGATGGTTTAGAGTGGAGGCATATCTGGAAAGAAGGCCGGACTCTCTAGAGTCTCTGAGTTCCCTTTGAATTTTAACTGTTGTACACAGTACTGTTAGTGGGATTAAATAAATACTAAACTACTATGTAATGTTAAAAAAAAAAGATCATTCAGGAATTCCCTCTCTACCCCACCTCTATCAGTTATTTGTTTTGATATTATTCTTTGCAATAAGAATAAGGGAGATATTTTGCAGTTTGTTATTTCGAATGTTTTTCCTTAAAGATTTTTCATTTTAGGTAGTGAATGCATACCATCTACGTGTAAGAAGAAGAAATCCAGTGACTGGCAATTATGTGAAAATGAGCTTACAGCTGTACCTAGTTGACAATAGAAGCTATCTTTTGGACTTTAAAAGCATTGATGGTAAGGAAGCCATGCAGGCATGAGCTCTGAGAAGATAAAACTTGGCACTAGTTGACAAGATATTAAACCATCTCAAAGACATGGTGGGTAGGTCTTCTATACTGGTTTTTAAGTAATCTAGTCTTAACTAAAAATGTAAGTGAAACAAAGAGGATTGAAGACGTGGAAAATCTCTAATCTAGCACTTCTCCAAAAGAAGTGCTTCCTTGGCATAAAAAAAGTCATTTGTAGTGTTGCCTGTGGAGAAAAGTAAGGAACAACAGGAAAGCAATTTTTTACCTAAAATTAGTTGATGTTGTTAGATTCTTTGTCACACTTCTCCATTCATCTTTTATCAGTAAACATTACAATATCTAAACTTCATTCTTCATCGGCTTCTTTCATCTTGGGTGGCCAAGGAATCCAGATAGGCCTTTCCTGAGATTTGGGCTGGATTTTGGTGCCCATGGCCATCCAGGAGGCAGAGGAGTCAACGGAGGTGGTCATGTCCAAGGACCTCGTGTGTGCCAAGAGTCAAACCTGGCTGAGCAAATGTGCTTATTCCACGCAGGGGCCCAAGTGGGATACAAGCAGAATAAACCAAGAGTCCACCGCTGGATGGAACCAGAGGAAAACGGAGTGCATAGTTAGGGAAGTTGTTTTCAACAGCATTTAAACTTCATTCTTAAACTGCCATCAGCTATAGCTGTGTTTATATGGTCCCCAGACCACCTTCATCAAAATTACCCAGAGTTCTTATTAAAAAGAGGATTCTTAGGAACTCTCCCAGACCTAGCAAATCAGAATCTCTGGAGATGGGTCCTGGGAAACTGGGAATCTGCCTTTTAAACAAGATTTCCCTTGCCCCTTCCCCTAGGCGGTTGCAATGTACGCTGAAGGATCAGTGCAATGGTAACTTTTGTTTTTATCTTAATGATTTTTTTCTATTGATACAACGCAAGAAAATAATCCTCCAAAGGTGTGCTTTCTTCAACTGAAAGGGATATCAGTTTGATTTCAAGGTTACTGTCGAATACCATGTTGAGAAGGATTTAGGAGTCCCATTTTGGCCGTACGGGAGTGTTGAGATTGGTGAGTGATGTCTGTTACGATTGTGGGAGGGAAGAGCTTTTGCCACCCCTGCTCCCAAAACACTGAAACATGACATCTGCTGTCAGGTTGCCCTTGCTCAGGTGTGTTTACTTAATATTCTGAATAAGGTATCTTCATAGGAAGGGCTCGGGCAAATATACCTTTCATATAAATTGCTCTTCTTTGGTCCATTTCAGATGAGGTGGTGGAGCAGAGGTCTGGCTCCTCAACGCCCCAGCGGTCCTGCTCTGCTGCTGGCTTACACAGACCGCGATCCAGTTTGGATTCTGTAACTGCGGAGAGCCATTTGCTCTCTGGCTCCCTCTCGGGCTCCCTGATCGGAAGCACGTCGTCTTCAGTTCTGCCTCGCCTGGGCAGTCACACCATGGATTTTTTTGAAATGTGTGCCAGTCTGATCACTACTTTAGCCCGTTGATGATCTTTCCTTAGTTTCTATCTTTCTGTTTTTGCACTGTGAAAATCAGATATATTCTTTAAATTATTGTTTTACTTATGGATATCACATACTCTGCAGTACTGGTTGAGAGCTGTGACTATCTCCAGGGGACGCTCAACGCCACTGAAATGACTGAGAACGTAAAAGTCTGACATTTCATTTACTGTAGATATCTGTAATTCTGTTCTGCCTATGATAAATTTACATAGGTAGTATCTTTAATACGTGAACATTGATGAAGATTATTGTTAATCTAAAATTGTGGATTCACTACAGATGATTAATACACCTTTACTGGTAAACCATCTCGGTCAAAGGGTGGTTTGGCAACATCTTCTTGCTTTACTGTTTAGTGTAGATAAATCCAGTTTGCTTCCTAAATTTCAGCAGGCTTTAAGCTGTGTTTATGCACAAGAAGATTAAAAAAATAGCCCAAACATTAGTAAGATAGTAATTAAATGTTGAAATCTTAAGAGCCAGCCCCCCAAATTTCAGAAACCAAGTTCTGCTAGCAGTTTTTGCAAATATTGCCCAGTGTTCAACAGAAGGGCTGTGGTCCTGAAACAGGTAACGGTCATTTCCAGGTTCCTTAAAAACAGCTATAACCAACTAGAGGTTTTATCTTGAGATTTTCCCGAATGACATATTTAAGAGCCTTCAAGGTTCTACTCAGTACTGGAACATACGGAATTACAACCACCTTTGTCTTTTTCATAAACTTATATCATTTTACAACATGCCTTCAAAATCTACGCTTCTCAGATTCTTTTTCACTCTATTTATTTTTGTACCTCACCAAGCATGATAAAATAGTCAAATGAAACAAAGCGAAATGTCAGCCGTCTCTTAAAGAGGACTCTCACCTTTGATCTCTTACTGTGTGTGGTGGTGTGGAGCTGTGTGTATGTGTGTGTCCTGTTGCATCCCATAATGCTAATTATTCATCAGAAGTTTGTTACTGTATTCACCCCCCTCCCTCACCTTCCCTAGTCACCTTTGTCTTTGTTTATGGTTTGATCCTTAGTGGCTGATTGACTCAGCTTTGAAATCTTTTCTGGTTCTCTTTCTTTCTTCTATATCTTGGTTGCTAGCCATCCAGTTTGAAACACTGTTCTGGCCCTAAGGGCTTTTGTGTACTTCCAAAGTGTGGTAGGCTGTGACTTTCACTTTTGAACCTGGTAGGGCAGGGAAGCCTTAAACATTCAAAAAAGTCTCTCTTGAATAAATATATGTGTTGTTTACATATATACATATATGTATTCGCACCAGTGCTTTTAAATGAAAAACCAAACTTTTTTTTTTTTTTTGGCTATGTGCAGGTTTTTTTAAGGCTTTTAAAAAAACAAAAAACCTATATACAGCAGGGTAGATAATAGCCCATTGATTATATTTTGTTTTAGTAAAAATATTTAATTTTAAAATTATGTATAATTTATCGAATTTGTATTTATTCATTTGTCTTGTCTAATATGTTATAATTAACAATCTCATTCACCTGACTTACCCTATAAAAGATTAAGCTCTTGAAAACGAAAAGTGACATTGCCTTGACAGGTTTCTCTTTGCCAAAAATAATGTGTTTTCTACCAAGAAGCAAATGAGAATGTTAGACCAGATTTCTCTTGTGTTTATGAAAGACAAGTATGTCTGTCTTTACAGAGCTTTGAGTCAGGAGTTTGCGGTGCGTCACATCATATTGTTTTGCAGAACTTTTTAAAAATGGTGTTATATAACTTTTAAGCCTGACTTCTTAATATCAAAATACAAGGAATCCTTATTAGCCAATTTGGGAAAGAGGGTGGGGTTGCAGGCAGTTAAGATGTGTTGTTTAAACCTTTGAAAGATTGCCACCTAGTGGCTTCGAAGGATACTTTTTTGTGAATATTTTTATAGGGAAAAGCAGTCCTGCTGCATATAGGTATGGCATAATTTTGGCCTCAACAAATGTGTAAATACTTCTTTAGGGAAAAACAGGGCCACCTCATAATACTTGCCTATGAATGGGGTGACCTTCAAAATAAGGAATTAATCTGATTCCTTATTCCCAAGGACAAAATCCCTAACAATTTTGAAGTCAGAGAAACGGTAGGAAGGAATCCAGTGGCATTTTAGCTTCTTTAGTCTAATGAATCAAATGTTAGAAACTGATATCAAAATTGCTTTAAATGGATGACTGTCATGTTTTTTAAGAGTTATTTACTATTTTCTCATTCTTGCCAGTATTTATGAATATCTACATTTTGATAGCCATCTGTTGAATTTTAGGAGAACCAAGGGTCACAGTTTGGGTTCTTGTGTCCTTAAGGTTTTAGAGCACAGCTCTTCTGTGAATGTAGATGGCGTAGTACTTTGTTTGTAGAGAGAAGATTACAGGAGGCTCAGCCCAGCATAACAGGGCTAGAACATTTTCATAGGAGGCTCTTTGTTGCTAATGAGCAGGGAGAGGGAAAGAAATCAGTTGCTAAATTCCCACATTTCAGTCTTGTAAACTGGGTAATTGTGGATATGGTATGTGGTAGACAGACCTGGGGTAGGAACAGTTTCTTCATGTTAAGATTCTGGAGGAGAGCTTCTATTATTAGGCTACAGATAAAGTCTTAGCTATATCATGGAAATGGAGTCCACACTGGTTCTAGAACAGCATTTCCCAAACTGCATTCTGTCAGATGCTCTGTAGAAAAGGGGTTTCATTGAGCAAAGCTTGGAAAATGATGCGTGTTACTCTCCTGCTTGAAGATGACAAAGGATGCGGGCATAAAGCCTTTGACCAGTCCTTCTGTGAAAAAAAGAAAACCGTTTAACTTTGTTTAATCCTGCTTTGCCCAGATTAATGTAAACATGGTTTTAAACTTACCATCCCGTGGGAAAAAATATATTTGAAAAATACTATTTTAAGAAAATTATTGTACCAGGTTGCCATAATGGGTAGATAAGAATAAGATTTCCTTTTCCCTTATCAGTTATTGGAGAGAATCTGGTTCAAAATCAGAATAATTCCATTTTAGCCTGTAGACATATTCATCTTGAGCGAATGCTGGATTAGTAGAATTTTATATGTCTACAACTTGTTTCATAGCACCTTGATTTTCTTAATCAGGTTGTGGTATTTTGTGGAGAGCAAAATTTATTCTTTTTTGTGTTGAATGGAGAACTGAAAAACCTTAAACAAGATTACTTCTAAAAATTGTCTAAGAGACTAGTAACTAATGCTTATGGCTCTATGGGTAATGAGTCAATAACATTGATTCTTACTTTCAGAAAGTATAGTCAGTGAACATTTTCTAAATACTTTTATATATAGAATACCATATTTAGATCTAATTCCTGTTATTCTTTAATGAAGGAACAAACAACATCCCAAATTAGATATGTTGGGAGGGAGGGAGGCAAACTATTATAAGTTGGGCTTTTGTTTTCATCAACAAATTTTTGAGACACTTTTGTAACCGCTAGTGTTTGCATTCCTTGATACTTGCCAGCTATAAAGAGAATCCAAGAGCCTAAATTATTCAGAAATAACAGTATTCCATGTCAGGGAATTGGCTATATGTAGTACAGACAGTTCTCCCCTTTCTGCAAATAGGTTTCCTGGGACAGTTACAGAATCCTGGGCTTGCTTTCTCTTATTCCCTAGCCAGTTTGTACTCAGGGAATACAGATTGATTTTTTATTAGATGAGACATAATTGAGAAGATAATCATAGACAACTGTTACAGATTTTTTTGACTATTTGGATTTATCTGTAAATGTACAGTATATTGAGTTAATATAAGCAATGCACCTTCCATTTATAAAATATAAGATCTTGGAATGTGCCTACCATAGACACTGCATGTTTGTCTATTCACTGGTTAGTAATTTAAATCCTGTTAATGGCTGTGAAATCTCAGTATCTAAATGCTAGACGTGTTCACAGTTTCGTCTGTTTTTATTTCTTTTTAAAGACCTCCACGTTTTCAATTTGGCACTCCTTTACCTGATCATTCTGTCACTCTGTGACTTTGAAAATAGGGAATGTACTTTATTTTAATAATAGTTCTCAGAAACTCTAAAATTCTGGATGAGGGATCTGTGCAATCTGTCTGTAAGTCACATCCTGTGTTGGGCCTCATTTTTGTAACCTCTAAAGTGGGAGGGATAGATTAAAAGACTTCCGAGTTACCTTTCAGCTTTAAAGTTCGGTCTTCTCTGCCTTTTCATATGATGTGTATTAGTGCTCACTTTTTACACGTTTAGAGATTTTATACTAGTGCGAATGGTCTGTATTTGTTTGGCGAGGTGTTTTGAAGGTATATACTAAAATATTTTTCTAAATACAGCTGCCTCCCTGGAATACAAATGGTAAAAATCATCCAGAAAACCAAACATGTTCAAATGTCATGTGTACTTGCCATAAAGCGAAAGATTACTAATTTGGAGTGATGGAAGTGTTCCATACATTTTAATAGTGAGTTTTAGATCCAGAGACCCTCCATATCGTCTATTAACTTATTTAATACGTTACAGTAACCTTGTGAGTTAACGATTTTCCAGATGAGAAAGCAGGACCAGAAAGCTCTTCACAAGGCTTTAATGCCATACAAGTGTTCAGTGATGATCACTGCTCTTTATATGCCCCCTTCCTCTGGGGGAAAACAGTCTGAATCACTGAAATATTTGCATAGTTGAGTAATAAAAATAAAGATGTATTGCTTTCAAGTCTTAGAGTGACATGAAGTAGTCTTAACTGAATATTTTTTAGTTTAATTATTTGAACCAGTTGATTGTACTAACTAGATGTAATTATCGTAAGTATTTATGATTAGCATATTGATTTTTGTTAAGTACTTCTAAGTTATTGAGGGTGCTTAAAAAATACTGAAGAAACTTTTTAGGGCATGATTCTTCCTTTAACTTTATTTATATGATTCTCATAGCAAAGATTTTTTTAGAAAGTAAAACTAGCCCCAACTCCTATCTTAAATTATCATAGTTTTTGACTATTAATCTAAATTAGGCTTATCTAAATTTCATATACAGATTGATAATTTTTCATTTTATATGCATATTAGATGATAAGATGCTATTTTCATAGAGTATATTTCTATTCACAAACTACCTAATTATTATTGGCTTGATATGGAGTCTTTTAAACCTTATAAAAATTTGAAATGTAATTTATGTTTGAGCTTTTAAAAGTGTATCTTATTTAAGCAAGTTGCTGGCATCCTTGCCAGCCTTTCCCTATATAATTATAATGCATTTGATGCCACTGGACAGTAATAACATAAAGAACAGGACCCACAGTCTAGACTATGTTGAGTTTTAATTAAACTTTTTCAGTCATTACCTGATAAGAATCAGGCTGGGTCTAGAAGTTAGACTGCGGGGCTGTATTAATTTCATGAGCCAATGTTAATGTTTACTGCCAGCCTGCATAGCAACGCCCGTTTGCAGCCGTGATTGTGTATGTGACTTTTGGTAACTACCGTTTATAGGTCAAGCAGCTCAGATGTTATGGAAGTAGCTCATGGTGATTTGGACAAGCAGGGTAAGTAAATTTAAGTTACATTTGAAAAAGTGCAATTAAGGAAATCCGAGAGCAGAATGCTCTTTCCAGGAAAAAAGTGAAGTGCTTATAGAATATCCTAGCGTGACAGCTCTTTTGAACATACAGAGAATGTTGACAAGGTTCATACAGTGGGAATTTTTTAATTCGCGGTTTGCTACTTTGTGTCGATTTAAAACTTCAAGGATGGGAGGGAGGCTCAAGAGGGAGGGGATGTGGGGACATGTGTGTGCATATGGCTGATTCGCTTTGTTGGGCAACAGAAACTAACACAGTATTGTGAAACAATTATACTCCAATAAAGATGTATTAAAAAAAAAGACTGAAGAAAAAATTTTCAAGGAAGGAATAGGAACATTCTAGCCAAGGAGAACTGCCTATTTAATTTTTGCTGCTAATTTAAGCATGCATTTTTCACAGCTAAAAGTCCTTTTTAAGTTTTGTTACAAAGAAAGTCCATTTTTCTAGACAGATAACATTTTCCTAAGATGGAAAAAACAGATCCACTAAAAAAACAAAAACACCTTAATTAATTGTGCCTTTTCTCTTGAGTTGTAGAACTAATAATCAGTCAAAAACTTGTTTAAACTGTGTTTTTTCCCTAAGTCCTCTCATTTTTCCTTAAATCTGTCCTCCACAGTCACATTGTTTGCTTTTGCCTGTTTGTTTTCAGGTTCCTTTGGCCAGACCTCACTATCATTGTCAGAAATTGTTCACTAAATGTGTTTTTCTGTTTGTTTTATGTTGCTTCACTTTTTAAGTCACCTTGGTAAAAGTATGGCTGCCTTTTCATGTTTTTAAAATGAATGCAATGAATAGCAATCTTTATATTTCAACCCTTTAAAAAGTTTGTAAAGGAAAGAAATAATGCGCAGCAAAGAACAAAATCTAATTTTGAATCTGATTCTCAGTTTGGCTGCTTGACAGCAGCAAGTCATTTAACCTCATTTAGTTTTTTTAATCCACAAAATGTGGATAATAACCTACCTCACAGATGTGTGTGAGAAACTGAAGGCCCTTGCTTAAAATACAGGGTTTATCATCATATTTAATGTAAATCCCTTCCTTTTCTTTAATAGATATCTTTGATACTGATAGGGTGAGTATCTTGATTTTAGGTAAGTCTTATGTGGTAAGAATATAGTGGTAAAAATGTTTAAGACCACAGTTTCACAAATTATGGTATTCTTATTTTAAGGGACTTTAAAAATTTCTTGAAAGTATCGAACATCCAAATACCAAATTTGTCTTTTGTTGCAGCAGATATTCAGAACTTCTTAAACTGTTGGCTGAAGATGCCTTAATGTACCAAAATACAGCTTTCTCTCCAGACTATTCACAAATATCTATGGTTGTATGATGTTTTGAGTGTTTAATGTAAAATTGTTAGAGAACTGTGAACTCTAAGCATAGTAATCTTAATGTTGTTTTAGGAAGAATGTGTTCTGTATCATGTATGCTTAAATATCATACAGTGACTTTTTGAGTGCAACAAACAAAACTGAAAGTTGACAGCCATTAGGTTGTGTCCATGACAATCATAAGAAAATGTAAGATTGGATATTAATTGTTCAGAAAATTTTCAAGAACACTTTGCATTCATTCTTTCTTAGCCCATCTTTGGAAAAAAAATCCCATAGGCTGATGCACTTACCATCCGAAGCACTTGATTACATATCATCTATTAAAGTAATTTTTTTAACTGTTGAAATTGGGATCATTTTCTATAATTCATTTCAGGAGGGGGAAAAAAAGACCAGACTCTTAGTGTTTTTGTGTTTTAATAACCATAGATTCAAAGTTCAGTTTTGTTTGTTATGTATTTTTTGTGAGTGTTAAATGATCAGTGGGAAGAATGTCTTCCAGCAACTGTGTGGTAAAGATGTCTTCTTGAATTACACAGCATTTCATAGCTATAGGTTCTCCCTAGTTAATACTTGCACTGTACAAACTCATAGGTAACAAACACAAAAGAGAAAAGCAGCCTATCTGATTACTTATAAGCTTTTTTCACAAAATCAAATTAAAGTCTCTGGTTAATTTGAAAGCCGTTTTGTTTCTGTTCAGTCGTTAAGCTAATATTCTGCAACTCAATTAATAGTTACAGACAAAGCCATTGTAGAACTTTGCTTCCTGTGATTCCTTGGAGATTCCATACCATCTCTGCCCACTTTTGTCTTCCTTGTTGTACACTGTAGTTTCTAACTTCAGCCATTGTATTAGTTTCCTATTGCTGCCATAAGAAGTTACTACACTTAGTGACTTAACACAAATTTATTGTCTTACAGTTCTGTAAGTAAGTCAGAAGTTCGGTGGGCTTAGCTGGTGTTTCTGCATCAAGTTACACAGGCTGAAAACCAAAGCATTGGTAGGGCATGGTTCTGGGGCAGAGTCTGTTTCAAAGCTCATTCGAGTTGGTGGTGAATTTAGTTCTGTGCTGCTGTGGGATTGCAGTCCCATTTCCTTTCTGGGTTTGGCTTGTAGCTTCTAGAGACCAGCATCATTCTCTGGTCCATGGCTCCCTTCACCTTCAAAGCCAGTGACAGGGGGCTTATGCTTCAAATGTCGCCTGCCTCTTCTTCACTACATCTCTGGCTGACTCTTCTGCCTTCCTCTTCTGATTGTAAGGGCCCATGCTATTAAATAGGGCTCACTTCCATAACCTTCCTATTTAAGGCCAGCTGGGTAGCAAACAATTTCATCTATAAAAAGGCCCTTTTTTCCAAGTCACATTAACATATTTACAGGTATTAAAACCAGGACACGGAGATCACGGAAGCCAAAATTCTGCTTACCATAGAAGACCTCAGGTTTACAACAAAATTTTACACTGAAGGCTGCTGAGAATAGAGAACAAGCAATGTAGCTGTGGTCCCATGTGCTTATGATGGTCACCTCCCATATTTATATATCTAAAAGCAACTTTTTGAAAAATATATGCTAGCTCTCATTAAAAACACATCAAAGTCAAGCTATATAAGAAAGATTTCAATTTGCTTTATCCAAACTTAGAAGAACAGATTTGTTTTTATTAGTGAATACTTTTTTTCCTTTATTTCCTAAATGGTATGGGTAATACATGCTTATCATCGTAGGAAATCTGAGTACAGGAAGTTTGAAGAAGCTGAAAAAAATCATCCAAACCCTGTTACCCAGAAACAACCACTTCTTAGGAATTTGTCATTATATATTGACTTTTTGCCCTTCCTCTTCTTCCCCTCAGAATCTATGTTTTAAAGGTTCTGAACATGTGCGGGAGAGGCCCTGCTCAAGAGAAAGCTATGTCGACTTGGAAGACCAAGTGTGTCAGAGGTACTCAGAAGGAGGAAGGGACAGCTTTGGTGGTGCATGTTAACAGGTTGCTGGTGGCCCGGCCTATAAATGAATGAGAGGCCCAGTGGAAGCCTCTGTTAGGGTCAAGTCCCTTTGTAAGCTGTCTTTTATCCACAGAGTGTTCTCATCGTTAATGATTTCTTTTTATGCAAAATTAAACAGTAAAATAGACAGTTTTTCCATTGAAATGTTCTGCTAGATGAGGGTTTCTAGGAGACAGATGACATTTGCTTGAGCCATTACTGAAACTTTAGTTATAATGTTTGCATTAAAGAACCTTGTAGATTAATAGTGTATGAAGTTTAGTTTCAGTGCCGTGATTTAAAGAATGGAAGAAATGTGGCTGATAGCGAAACAGAAACAACTACTTCGATGTGGATGGAATGTTCTTCCTAAAAATGTATTCCATATCAATAAATAGTAATTAGGTACTAGTTTATGTTAGACCAAATGGTTTATACTTCAAAAAACATAGAAAAGTGTTCAGTTTCAAAAGCCTGTTAAGTATATCTATGTAAAATTATTACATCCTAGCCATTCTTTCAAGTCTTAACCTTTGAATTTCAAAAACCTGTTTTTGTGTTCAGCATCTTCCAACTTCAGAAAAGTCCAGGTACTAAAAATAACAACACTTAGTATTTTGTATTAAGGATTTTAGGACACTTTTATTTATATTATTACATTACAGCCTGACAACAACCCTGAGAAGTAGACAAGGTGAGTGTTATCAGCCCTGCTTTACTGATGAGGAAATGGAGACGCAGAGCTGAGTCATGGAATTAGAATAAGAGGCCATGTGATGAGATGGAATGTGCATGGGACAAACCTATGTCAGGTAAAATGTAGTCCCCCTGCCACCTCAGGATTTAAGATACGTCATGTTTTGGTGCGGTGGCAAGTGTGCTATGTGGGTTTTGATCCTCGTTTGTACACGATTATTGCAGGAATGGTGTCTGCTCAACAGCCCAGTACTCCCTCTGGCTTTGCCCATGGGCCATACCTGTCCCGTGTCCTCCTCTTCTACTGTGCCCACAGTGTGGGAGAGGGCTGCTGTTTCCTGGTTGCCTGGCCTCTCACTGAGAAGTAAATTCAATCCGGGGGGGGGGGGGCGGTCCAAGTAGAAATATATTCTAAGTCTTTCTTTGGTGCCAGCCTTAATCTCATCTCCCAGAAAAGAAATCTCAGTGTCACTTCCTAATTCCTTTTCTCTCTCACTTCTACCTCTAATGGGGCTCCTGAAACTATATATTTCTGTTGCTGCTGTCTTAAGGTCTAGTGGTCTTAACGCCTCAAAATATTGCAAAATTAACTAGTCTCCTCTCGTTCTAATCTGTCATCCATAATCTTTCAGCCATATTGCCATGATTTTTTTTTCCTTTTTTCTCCGGACACCTGGCATTGTCTTCCTGCTTAAGACCTTTGAATGCTTCCTACTCTCTAAAGGAAAAAAAGTCCAAGTGAACTCTGTCACATTCTAGCCCTGACTTACCCCATTCTAGCACTTGGCCATTTCCTATCAGATACACTGTAGTCCTTTTACCTTGAATTTCTTCCTGGTCACCAGGCAGAGCATGCATTTTTCCATCTCTGTGTCTTGTCTAACAAATATATGTGTTTAAAGGCCAAGCTTCAGTGTCACCTGTATGTTGTGTGTTATAATTGTTATTTGTAATAATCTCTGTACCTGTCTTCCTCTCTAAACTTTATGAATACTTTTGATCCCTGTCTTCTAGAATAAGCTTGGCCTTTATTGACACGTGCCATTTGGAACAAGAAAAAGAAGATAAAAGAATATAGAAGCTTAAAAAATAGTCTCACAGTATAAAGGATGAAGCCACGTATCATACCCTTGAAGGGCAGAATCACCCTAACAGGCAGTGTACATCATCTGAAAAATAGAATGTTATTTACGGCTCAGATTATTTATGTTTCTTTACTTTCTGTAAGTAAAAATACCTATGAATTATTTTAATAGATAATTTGGGCATAAACAAAATAATATTCTGTTGTTTAAAATAAGTAAAATGGTTATTTTAAACTGATAACAGCATATATATTATTTAAATTTTATTAAATATATTTAGGCAATTCTCAAAATGTTGGGTGAATTTAGGAAAAAACTACTTTTCAGCATACTATTCCCAAAGAAACCAATTTTGGGCAGCATTTGTCTGATTTTAGTTTTGTGACAAAGTTGGTATATAAATGTCCTTCTGCTTTGAGATGATACCTTAAATTGGAATATTTAAAAGATGTTGGTTATACTATTTACTTTTCAGAATTAAATTACACCCAATTTAAACGCACAACATCGTCTAGAAATTATAAACACTCGTGTACTAACATTAGAAGCATTAGAAGCAAACTAACCATCTGCACAACTGGCTAGGTGCCATAAGGCGTGATTTCTGACTTTGGACATGGCTCATTAAACAAGTGCTGGAATGCCAACACACACTGTTTCACATTCTCTTGAGCCAGCAGTGAAATAGATACTGAAATAGACATTGAAAGATAACTGCTTAGGAGCAAAATCTGCATCTAAATGTGGAGGGTTTGTTTTTCTCCTCTAAATTCCTGATGAAAGTTTCCACAGATTCCACCATCTCATGCTGACACGTAAACTGATGTGAGGCAGGACTGAGACCTTAGAACGAGTTCTCACTTGTGCAGGCTGTACCATTTGATCTTGATCTTCCTAAGGTGACTAAACTTCATGCCTGAGAAAAAAGAAAAATAGACAAACATTTTGAAATACAGGTCCATGGAATAGTGAGTAGGAGATTTCAGGGGAATTTTTTATCCAGTTTAATTTTTTTTTTTTTTCGGTACACGGGCCTCTCACCATTGTGGCCTCTCCCGCCGCGAAGCACAGGCTCCGGACGCGCGGGCCCAGCGGCCATGGCTCACGGGCCCAGCCGCTCCGCGGCATGTGGGATCCTCCCAGACCGGGGTATGAACCCGCATCCCCTTCATCGGCAGGCAGACTCTCAACCACTGCGCCACCAGAGAAGCCCCCAGTTTAATATTTTTATGCTGCTTTAAAATGTTTATAAATATGCTCCGTAGAGAAGTTTGATAACCTCAGGAGCGGCAGACACAAAAATAGTCTCTTCCAAGTAATCCTTACAGAATAGGGCATTGCATATTGAAAAACTTTTCCTGAATTTAAATATATGAAATAGTCTTTCCTTGAGACTTATAGACATAATAATGTATTATGTATTTAGAATTTATTATTTAAAGTATAAAATCAAACCACTTACTTGAAATCTAGATGTTCAATTAGCACATATCCATCTATAGAAATAAAAATCACTATTACTAATCTGAAAGTTATAATGCTTGGAGGTTTTTTTAAAAAACAGTGATTGAAATCTTATGGGCAATAAGCCAGTAACTTACATTTGCCTTTAGAATTGCGACATATCACTAGATTTTCTTCAGTGATATCAATGACTTCCAGTTCTTCTCCAGGGGTTATTGGCAAGTCGAATATTCCATTTCTTGAATTATTGGAACATGCCACTGCTGTGTTCATGACAGTAATTTCTTTGTCATACTGAAAGGAGAAATTCCTAATCGGAATGTGCTTGCATAGTTTTCATTCTTTTTCATTGTAACAAAATTAATGGAAGACATACTATACTAACCTCAAAATAAACTCAAGATGCTAGATATTAATTAGTTAACTAATGACTAAGGGACAGAAAATAATAGCAAGATATTCAGGGAAAGAAAAGTTATTTAAGGAAATAATGGTACATTTATTATTATCACAATCTTTCTTACAGTTGTTTGTTACGATCATATTTTCAAAGTGTTTTCACACCCATTATCTAATTGTACTAGAATGAATTCTGGTGGGTGAGAAGGTGTTAACATTGGTATAAATTAAGTACCATGAATGGTACGTTCACTGTTGCAGTAATAAAGTCACCACCAAACCTGGGAAAGGACAAGTTAAAAAAGGAAAAAAAAAGAGGGAAAGAGAAAAACCTCTTTCTTTGTGTAGTACTTTAGAGTTTATAATTCTTTCTTACACACAGCATTTCTAGCTGTTCTTTCTACCCTTCCTCTCTGGTGGGCTCATATATTCTTATATACATACAGCTGTAGCACACACATTTTAAAGATGTGTGGGGCAATTCCCACTCTCGCTTGGTGGTTAAAGACGAGCATTTGTGGAAAAAACTGAGGAATTTGATTTCTGACCTCAGGGGAGTTTTTTTCTGTGTGGTAAACTAGCCAACGCATACATCAACAGGTACACCACCTTCTAATGTAACTGAAATCCATTGACTGGAAAATAATAGTTCCAGAATATGTAGCTTATATTTACAGATGTCCGCTTCACCAAATTAGGGTGGCCAAACATCTTCCTTTGCTTGGGATAGTCTCTACTTATAGTTAATGTCTCTATTTATAAATACTTACTGTGATTAAGTGTGCCTCCTTCCACTCTCAGAAGCGTCCTGAATTTGGATGATAAATTATGATTAACCTATACCAAATGGGATCTAATCCACACAATTTTTCTTTTGCCTAACAGAGTGATCTTACCCTTTCCAGGCCATTGTTCACTGTGAATGCACAGTGATTTCTTAAAATGTAAACCTGATTAGGTGGTCACCTTCTTTTTTTATAAAGTCCTAGAAACTCTTCATTCAGGGTAAGATCCACATTTCTTAGTTTGACATTCAGAGTCCTTTGCCTACCGTCATTCCCCGTCCCCCCGTTTCTGTCCCCTTTATTGAAGCCACATCAAGCTATGTGATAAGCCTGAATGTGCCGTGTACCTTACATATGTCCATGCCATTGCTCCTACTGTTTTCTCTGCCTGAAATACTCTTCTTTCTTAGGTACCTTTTGTGAAGACTTTCATGACTGCCATGTATAATTTACTATTTTAACTGCACTTTGTATATACCCCCATTGTGGATTCTGATTAACATGCTGTCTCATACATTGAAAATGGAAAACAGTTTTATCCATCCTTGTACCCTCAATGCCTGGTACAAATGGGGCACCCAATATTTTGTGATTTGAGCTGAATAAAAATTATTGAAACTGTATAGTTTTTCTAAAGATATATCAAGGAAACTCATCATAGGTGATTAGGAAGAATAGACTCACGTACATATGAGAATGGGGATTTCTGTCCCATATGAGAGTGTCACAGAGTGTCCCAGCTACAGTGGGGGGCACTAGATGGAACGTAGGGTCCTTTCAACAAGTAATTGTTACACACTTGTTTTTCAGCTAATCAAATAACGTCACAGTTTGCAGTAAATCATTTCATATCACAATTCCTAGATATAGTAACCCTAATCAGCTTTGGTCCAAGCAGAATTTCTTAATGATTATGAGGGATTTGTATATGTTCCTATGTTCAGTCCAAAAACGTTTTTGGATATTTACACAGTGTTAGGTACTCCTATTCTGCTCTGTGTATGGATATAAGGATAGATAATATACCCTTGTCCTCCAGGAGCTCATAGTTTAATTGGTGAACATGTAATTGCAATAATGCTAATGTTTTGTGATAAGCTAGAGGTTTGCTCAGGTATATAGGTATGTAGTTTCTTTAATCAGGAAGTGTGGGTTCCTAGAGAAGATGCCTCGATTTGGTCAGATGGAGAAAAGTAGCAAGGGTACACCAGACAGTTGGAACGGACCAGATAAATGCCTAGAGGAAGGAAATAGCAGGGCAAGGATAAAGGTGTACGTTCATTCAAGAAACAGAACTATGAACAATCTGTGGCCAAGGCACAAAGTGCAAGGTGAAGAATGGCAGGAAATAAAACCAGAAAGACAAGCAAAGGTCATGACATGAACGGCTTTATATCTCATGTTAAGAAAACCTAATCTTTATCTATTTGGCAATGGGGAACTTTTGAAAGATTTTAGGCAAAGTAGTAATTTGGACAGATTCCATGAGCAGGATGCATACTTTCTCTCAATCCAATGTCTGGTACATGGAAGGTGTTCAATGTATGTTTCTTAAAATTAATAAATTCTCACTGTGACAGTATATGAAATCAAAAGGGAGGAGTGTTTGAACCTTGCCATTATAGAAAAATGCTCCATGGACTCTAAATGAAAGAAGTTTTTAATCATTTAGTGTAACCATTTTTATGTTGGGAGCTGGAGGGAAAACTTGAACAAGACAAAAATCTCTTCTTCAGAAGGGACTCGAGACTTTAGTTCAGAATACACACAGACACACACACACAGACACACACACACAGTAATATCCCTGATCAGTGTTATAACGGATACTGTATAATAGATGTATGAAATGTGCTGAGGGAGTAACTTTGCCTGGTTGAGTTAGGGAAGTGTGGGTGACATTTGAACAGAACCTTAAAGAATGACTTAGCAGTTTTTCCAGGCAGAGGAAATAGCATGTACGAAGGCATGATAATATAGAAGTGTATCAGGAAAAAATTAACATATCAGATGTTTAATCAAAGATCATGTCAATCCCAGTGAGGCAGACGTGCAACACACTTATAGAATCTTTAAAAACAGAAATTCCTCTTATCGTTAATTTTTACTTTCAGAGGAGAACGTACCTTGAATCTTTCTCTAAAACATTTTTCTTCTCTTTCCATTCTGTTCTTTTCTAAGTTTTGCTTCTTGGTTTTGAAGAAATTCCTGGGAGATAAGCAGGCAGAAATATGCAGGTAGAGTGAAGTGTATTATAATAAAACTCTAAGCTTCCAAAGCCATAAACTCATTCTGTTTCAGGATAAATTCAGATATAATTTTATGTGTTTAATTTTATACCATCTTCCTGTTGCCTCTCCTTCCTCAAATCTATCTGCATACCTTCCTCCAGAGTCATCTTTCTAAAATTTAATTGATCATGTCACTCTCTTGCTTAAAACCTTTCAATCTGTCTCTACTGCCTATAAGATAAAGTCAGATTCCTTAGTGTGGTACACAGGGCATTTTATAATCTGGCCCCAACCTACCTTTCCAGCTGCCCTTTTCCATATACATTCAAAGTCTACATGGAACCTCTTGGAAGGTGGGCTGTCATTTCTATGCCTTTATACCAGGGATACCCTTCCCCAGACTTCTCTGAAAACTGGTCATCATCTTTGATTAATAAAGGGATAATAAAAGGGTTGCACTAATATAGAAAGTAATTCTTATTGGTAGAGTAAGTTATGGTAGAAACCATTTAAAAAGGAACAAAGAACACATAGAAAATTGATACATCAATTTACAGGAATAATAATAGACTCAATATTGCATTTTCAAATTTACTCAGTTGAGAAAAAAAGTAAACCATTATATCAGTTTGTTGTAAGAAATAAAAAAGCACGAGAAGATTGTTTCCTAAAAAGACTTAGGTATAGACATTAAAATACTAGAAAGCTTTTTTTGGGGTGGGGAAGGTAAACAATTTCACTGTTATTTCATCTCTTGGAATTCTGTTTCGTTATGCTACGCAAAAGTAGAAGTGTGAAGTTTAAGGTAGAAAGATGCTCTTCTTGTCTAAGGAATACATCTTTCCAACTTGGGAAAAATAAATTACATCCAGTCTAAACTTAAAGAAAACAAACTTAAGGGAAGGGCCATCCTATGCCATCCTCTGAGTTTAAATTTGGTATAGACTGATGTCTGATTTCTTTTGGGGTGCCCATGTAGGACTTTTCTAGACAGATTTCCCAGAGCAGAGAGACCATGCAGTGTTCCCAGCTCAATGACCGTTTAGACAAGGATTTCCCCAAGACACTTGTTAAACAAAGTGCCTCAGCTCCTGCCCCATATCCCAGCAACTGAGAAGACTGAAGCACAGAGCACTAAGTGACCATCAGAGATAGTAAAAAACATCACCACCCCACCAAGCCAACTGGGAATTTGAATCACATGAATAAAGGTGAGATCTTGAATCAATAAAACATTCTTTTTTATTTCTAACACTAATGTAGTGATAACTAGAATTATATTGTATTTTAGGGATATCAGTCTTACTATATGATACCTAGTTTCTCTTCTCAAAGCATCATTTAAGTACTAATTGGTGTATTATTTAAGTTCTGTCTTACTGGGGAGAAGTTCCTACTGCCCAAAGGAAGACTGGAAATTTTTCATCATTTGATAAGGAGTGACTAGAATTCTTCTCTTGCGCCCTGTCCACCAAAAGCAGGAATGATAAAGATAAATGTGTGGGACACTTTACATTTTCATATTCTTTTTCTCTTTTAATCCTCTCAGTTGTACTATAATGTAGGTGTTAATATTCTCATTCTGTAGATGAGGAACCTGAAAGTCAAATTTAATGACCTGCCCAAGGCCACACAGCTAGTAAGAGGTATAAATCGCAGCAGATAAGCTGTAATTTAAGTGTACTTTCGTGCTTACCTTTCTGATTCTTTAGCACCATTTTTCTCTTTTTTTCCCTTTGATATCAAAAACTTGGGCTTCCAAGTCTTTAGTTTATCTTCGTCACTGAGAAGAAAAATATTTGGAGCAAGTAAATTAAGATTGAACTAAAACCCTTACGGAACAATCAGTACTTTCTGGGAAACTGTGTTTTACCAAAAAATTAATTAAAAAGTCATCTAGAAGTATATTTTGATAATCTATGGCAAGGCCAGAGCGTCAATATTGTAGGCTTTGCAAGCCATGCCATCTCTATGGTAACAACTCTGCTATTGCGACTGTATTTACAATAACAAGTGGCCGGCCATATTTGGCCCCCAGGCCATGGCTTGCCAACGCCTGATCTGTGGCAATCCAAATTTGAAGCCAGAATCTGAAAAAGAATGGATATATGTATATGTATAACTGAATCACTTTGCTGTACACCTGAAACTAATACAACATTGTAAATCAACTATACTCCAATATAAAATAAAACTTAAATTAAAAAAAAAATTGAAGCCAGAAGCAAGAAATCAACCTGCTTATAATCACACTTCCTCTCCTTTCTGAGCCTCAGTTTCTTCACCTCTAAAACGTGAATGATAAAATGGACTTTAACTGTGGGACAAGACTAATCCAACTAGTATTTAGCATTAGCAGAAAAGGATGCAGAGAGGAGAGAGGGTATTATAGAAAGAACTAATATGTTTTGAGCCCCTATGTGTCAAGTCTTATGCTAGGCATTTTACATATGTTAACTAATGTGGTTTTTATAGGAAGTATTACAACAGTCCTTTAAAGTAGTCTTTCATAAAGTTTTACAAAGGGGGAAAGAGATGATCTAGGTAACTTACTATGGTCACAGAAATAGTGGCTTTGAACCCAGTGGCTTTGAATCCAAGTGTGTTTGACTCCAAAGTCTATGGTCTTTCATCATGCCTGCTGCTTTAAAACTTTACTTTGCTGGTATGACAAAGTAACCAATATGTTCATCATTGATGGGAGCAAAACTGGCCCCTCCTCTATCAACCGTCTGTATGTCTGTGGTGTCTGCACATCAGAACACAATTTTTCACTGGATAAATTATAACCACAAGAATATTACGTCAGAGGAACTTAAAATTTTTTCAGTGACATTGTGTCACAATTCCCTTCAGATTATGGTCACGAGGTCCAACAGAATATCAGGGACTCAGCATCTGACCAGCATTAAAGATAAGGCCTAGGAATATGGGTTTAACAGGTACAAACTACTATACATAAAATAGATAAGCAGCAAGGATTTACTGTATAGCGCAAGAAATTATATTCAATATTATAATAACATAATGGAATATAATCAGAAAAAAGAACTGGATCAGTGTGTTGTACACCTGAAACTAACACAATATTGTAAATCAACTGTACTTCAATAAAAAAGAAAGATGCAGCTTAGGGAAAGCTTTTAAGAAGACTTCCAGGACTCGTCTAGGGATCTCCGATCACTCTCTTTTCTCAATGTCTGTTGCCTTTGGAGTCTATAACAAGGAGCTCAGCAGTTACTTCTTTTCTAATTGTCTCATGTTCACTCATTTTATCTCTTCACTTTAGGTTCGCAAAAGATGGGATCCAGACACACACATTCCAGATATACCTACCACAAGCTCAGCACAGTGCTAGGCACAGAGCAAGTGTTTAATGAGAACTTGTGCGTGGACTTCTTAGGCAGGAGCTATAGCTGTGAGGGCAGGGAACAGGCAAAGCAAATGCCTGCCTAACAGTTTATTTTCTTTAATGATTATAAAACAACATATTATTTTCAGAAAAGTCATACTAATTTTTACCCATGCTAACCATGTGACCATTACAGTCAACTCTTTGTCAACTTATTTTAGCTTTTATAGGGATCTAGTTAGAGAGCTTAATTAATTTGGCAGGATGAGGATTGTTTTTTGGCCATATCACGGGTTAAGAAACTAAGATTCAGAGAAGTAACATGACAGCCATAGGGCCCACTGGGACCAGGTTGTGGAAGCTGTTACAGTGTCTTTTTCAAGATTCCCCTCTTCTTCCTTCCCTTGCTGACTCTCTAGGGGAAATTCTAATGAACAGAAGGAAATGAAAATCAGAGGTCCGGATTGTCTAGCAACAATGTAATCCAGAGTTGTTTAGGCATCTCTTCAACCTAATACGTACCAGGACATGACATGCAAACTAGCCAAGCTGACAAGAACTCAGATATCATCTTCCATCTCCCTTCCTATCCCCAGTTCTGCTATTTTCCATCAGTGTTCCATCTGCTACAAATGTCTTTAATAATTGATTTCTCTGAGGCCAAACTACAGAAGATTTACTCTATCCCATGAAAAAGAAATTGGTCAGATTTTGATAGGGTTAAGGGACTTGGTAAATATCATTTAATCTTAAAATATCTTCTTCATTTTTTTCACCACCCCAAAACACATTGTGATCATCTTTCATCTGAGCACCTTTAACAATATTCTAACAAATGTTCTACTTCCGACCTTCCCTTCAAAGCACTATGCAGAGAGTCTAGGTCTAGTTACTCTTCCTGAAGTGTGGCTCTGATTACATTGTCCTCTTGCCCACAGTTCTGGACTTCCTTATTTGGCAGTAGGGCAAAAGAATTTTCTGATAGGGCCCTCCCAGTACAAAACTGCTAGATCCTGGATAAAGGTTTTTTTAGTTTGCTTTAACAAATTGCCACACTTTACACTTAGATTAATTCCTGTACGCTATACCTTAATAGCCCCCAGCAAATAAACTGAAACCAGACAGAGCAGTAAGCAGTATGCAAGCACAGAAGACAAGTCTGTCCTGAGGAAAATGCTATCAGCACCACAATATTTCAGAAGATTAAACAATTAATCATGCTAGAACATTTACCCACATGGAGTTAAGACGTATCGTCATGTTAGATATTTTTAAAAGCCAGTTCAGCTCTATGCTATTTATATAAGACATATTGAACAAGAATATGGAAAGCAGAAAAAGGATGAAAAATGTATACTAGGGAAATACTAACTAAAAGAAAGGTCAGGTAGGTATAAGATTGGGCAAATTAGACTTTAAGACAAAGCATCACTAGGAAATTAGCTTAGTGTTGTAGTAAAGAGAATGGTTTGGGAGTCCAGTTGCTGGGGTTTGAATCCTGGTTCTACCACTTACAGGCGCTATGAGCTTGGGCAAATAACTTCACCTCTGTGTCTCAACCTCTCTTCTACAAAATTTGTATAATAATAGTGTCTACTTCACAGTTGCTGTGAAGATTGAATGAGTTAATACATGTTAAATCTAAAAACAGTGACTGACTCACAGTAAGACCTACATAAGTATTATTTTTGTTATTAATAGTGTTGATATTAGGGGGAATGGAGATGGCTACAACCTAAAAAGAAACATTTAATTCACCAGAAGATATTTAAAATTTTGTATGCAACTAATAAAAGAGCCTTAGAATATATATTAAAGATATAAAGAAAAAAATATATATAGAAAATATAGAAAAAAGAGAAAAATATATAAAGAAAAAAATAGACTTTTGGAAGAAACTGACAAATCTACCATCTTTCTGTGAGATTTCAACCCACTTCTTTCATATATTAATGGATCAAGCATCTAAAAATCCATAAATCTATAAACGATTTTATTAAGAGAATTAACACATATTGTGTTGGCCAAAAAAGTCGTTTGGGTTTTTCCATAACAGTAGAAAAACCTGAACGAACTTTTTGGCCAAGCCAAATATTTGATTTAGAGGACATAAGTTGATCCTTGTATCAAACAATTAGAGAAGTCATATTTTTCTAAAGTACACATGGAACATTTATAAAAACTGACCATATACTAGGCATGAATCATGTCACAGAATATGTCAAAGTACTGATATCAGCTACTTCCTCAGTATACTAATACCATATCAACTACTCTTCCAGATCACAATTCAATTAAGATAGAAATGACACATGGGGAGGGGGAAGGGTAAGCTGGGATGAAGTGAGAGAGTGGCATGGACACATATACACTACCAAATGTAAGGTGGATAGCTAGTGGGAAGCAGCTGCATAGCACAGGGAGATCAGCTCAGTGCTTTGTGACCACCTAGAGGGGTGGGATAGGGAGGGTGGGAGGGAGATGCAAGAGGGAGGGGATATGGGGATATATGTATACGTATAGCTGATTCACTTTGTTATACAGCAGAAACGAACACAACATTGTAAAGCAATTATACTCCAATAAAGATGTTTTTAAAAAAATGACAAATAGAATACAGAGCATGGAAACAGATCTTCAGATTTTTGGAAACTTAGTATGACAAAGATGGCATTGTAGAAATGGGGAAAATAGGGGCTATGCAATTAATCATGCTAGAACATTTACCCACATGGAGGAAAATTCAACTGGATCTCTACTTCACTAAAAATGCCAAAATCAGTTCCAGGTAGATCTAAGGCTTATGTGTAAAAGCCAAAAAGTTACAGTTTTAGAAGAAAATATGGGAGCATATCATATGATCTTGGGATAAAGATTTCTTTAAAGATATAGAAAGCAACAATGTTAAATCACGTGCATACTTAGAAGGGAAAATACAATAAATGCAAATTTTACAGGGAATGCAAATTCAAAAGAAAATGCCAGCTTATTTTCCAAAGTGGTTGTACCAATTTACACTCTTCCCAGCAGTATTTAAAGGGAATACTGATCCACATTCTCACCAACACAGAAAGAATTCTTAATTTTTGCCTATTTATTGGGTATAAGATACTATCTCATTGTGGTATTAATTTGCATTACCTTCATTACTAACAATGTTGAACCTCTTTTAATATGTTTATTCACCCCTCATGTCTTTCTGTAGAAGACCTATTCATATCTTCTGCCTATTTTCCTTTGGAAAACAAGTTGGCATTTTCTTATGAATTTTCATTCCCTATAAAATTTGCATTATTTTCCCTTCTAAGTATACATATAAATAAGAATATTTGTAGCAGTATTGTTCAAAAGTGCAAAAAACATGGAACGACCTCAGTACTCACAAGAAAATGGATAAATTGTGGTATGTACATGAAATAGAATATTGTAGAACAGTAAAAATGAATAAACTAATAGTGGCTTAAAAAAGGATGGATTTTGAGTAAAAAAGAAGTAGTAGAATTCTATATACAACATACCGTTTTTACAATGTTAAAATCCCTAATGAAACAATATATTTTTATCACCTGTGCTTGATAACAGTATTTTGGTTTTGAACAGGAAGTGAAAGACAGGAAATGTAAGAGAGTGTTTACCTTGGGGGAA